AGAAAATATATTCGCCAAGTGGTTGATGTTTGACATGTTTAGTACTATTCATTTATTGTTTATTCGTTTTTCCTTCTTTCCTATTTAGACATTCAGTACCAGTAATCAAAGTATTGATGATATCTATGCCCAAAAATGTACATCGATAGATGGCTCCAAACAAAATCAATGTCAATAGTGTTTGTTTTCATCCAGATAATGTGTCGCTCTATATTTGTTGCTGTAACAGTGATCTTTGCAATGGTTCAATAAAAAGTGACCAGAAAAAGCTAGTTGGCGATGTTGACCTTACAATACTAAATAATTTTTTGTAATAATCCTAATGCGCAATCAATAAAATTCTCAATGTATGTAACTGATCGAATGTCATTTTTTCCAGAACACATGTGCCTTTATTGCAAAACTTATTCATTGTTATGAAACCTACTTCAGACATCGATTTATAGTAGTTCCTCAGAAAAATCTGATCGCACTCCAGTTTGTGCATGATCCACTAATTCTAGTTCAATGCCCAATGTAAAATAACCAATAAAGTTGTGTGCTTCATTCTCAAATCTTCATTATTTATTCAGTTTCAAAAATTATATGGTTCTGTTTCATGAAAGTGGAATCTATATCAGTGTCCGACATGGGTCAATTTTTCGTGACCCGACCCGACCCGACCCTAGCTCACCAAAACCGGACCCGACACGATCCTACATGAGGTCGAAGATATTTTTTTGCCAAGAAAAACGAGTCTTTTTCACAATTTAGCAAGCTTTTCAGCGTATCTATATAACTTCTCTTAATATTCTAAACAAAGAATCCATTATCTCATTTGAAATTGTCGTTTGTCTTATAAAAAGTTCGAAATCGGTCAACTGTTAGTGGTCCGACCCGGCCCCAGATATGACTCGACCCGAGTCGGACACTGATCAATATTTTCTAAATAGTTGCCCTGTTACTTCAAACTTAGTAAGATGGTTGATATTCTCTTCATCCTTATATACATATTCACTCAACACCAAACTCTCAATACGTGCAATGGTAGATTAAATCATGTATGCAACAGAAAAATTAGCGTCACTTCTGGCTGCAATAAAGTATTTCTCAGCAGATATTTTGATGATAGAACTTCTTCTTAATCTAGTAACATGCATTTGAGAACTATATAGTGGAGAAGCAACAGAGTGCAACGGAATTTTGATCTAAGCTTTTTCATGTTCGAAATAAAACTGAATCATTAATTTTGATTATTGATTGTTCGGGAAAAACTACGCACGTTGATTGGACAGCACTCATACCATTGCCAAAGAATTGGCGGTTAATCAAAAAATTCATCCGATCTTGCGTAAACAGACAGTTTCACATATCGATCATTTTTACTTCATTGATAGATGTAAGCACTTGTTCACCCATCTCTTGGTATTCTTATTGCACTATTAATACTTCTCATCAGTTCACTCTCCTACTCGTTGTGCTTTCGTATAGTCATTTCAACAACAAAGTCGGTTCAAAAACTTTCGCATTTTGCTTATGATTCTTTGATCTCATGGAGAATAAAGTGATAAAAATGCATTAGATAAGCGAAATATATATTCTAGCGTCCAATCTAATGTTCAAGTCAGTCTAAGGTCAGAGTTTGCACTAGTCCAAACTTGGAACGAACAAAAACTTCAGGCCACAACTAAATTCTGGGACTGAAATGGATGTTCGATAAACGCCTTTTTATTTACGAACTATATCAAATTGATGACACTCGTTTGTATAAAGGGTGGTTCAGAAGTTCTACCTCGATTTGAATAATAAATTTTTCTTTAGTAAAATACGTAGTTGAAATTTTGTTTTTAGGGTAAAAAGATGCAGTAAAACATGCTCTACAAAATCGCTTCTGATTGACCCTGCTAGCTCTTAGGGCAAGAAAGTTATAAGATTAGAAATATACTTTTAAAAAAAATGAAAATTAACCATGAAATTTTCAAAGCTAAAAAATACAAATAGTGAACTGAATATGGCTTGAGCACTCAGTTTACTGGCGAAACCACTTTCGAACCATTATAAAATGAGTTCCAGATTTCAAACACACTTTCTCTATGCTGAAATGTAGAGTTTCGAAAATGCAACGAATTCAAAACCCTTTTTTCGATCACGTACATTTCTGCTAAATCCTGTAAAATACTTATCAAGGATCTAGGAAACTTTTAAAGGATTTTGTACGAATGCATGTAATCTGAAAAGAGTATCGGATTCAGTGCAGTTTCGAAACTCTACATTTCAGCATAGAGAAAGTGTGTTTGAAATCTGGGATTCATTTTATAATGGCTCGAAAGTGGTTTTGCCAGTAAACTGAGTGCTCAAGCCATATTCAGTTCACTATTTGTATTCTTAGCTTTGAAAACTTCACGGTTAATTTTCATTTTTTTAATAGTATATTTCTAACCTTATAACTTTCTTACCCTAAGAGCTAGCAGGATCAATCAGTAGCGATTTTGTAGAGCATGTTTTACTGCATCTTTTCCCCCGAAAAACAATTTTCCAACTACGTATTTTACTAAAGAAAAATTTATTATTCAAGACCAAGAAAGGACCACAACAACCCGAAACAACTATGAGTAGAAGCCTTCAAATATAGAATTCATATATTCAGATCAGCTTTCTGCTGATAAGTCCATGCAGATTTACTGTGTGCTTATCTTCTCGAAACATCGATGTGTAATAGATCAGTGCGTGAAATCTTAAGCTCATCTCTATGATAGAGAACAGCTTGTGTTCGTTTTACGGACCAGTGCAATTGAACAATCGATCGATTCAGTCGATAATTTTATCTCAATCGTCGAGTATAACAGTATACATCTTTCTCATATTCAATACAATTGATCCTTCAATCAATTTAGTCAGAAATATGATCATAATTCATAGCTTTAGTGGTGTCTGTGGCTTTTCTGCTCTGATGTAACCTGTCGGTCTACTTCTTCAATTGTGATCTTCAGTGCTATCATCTATGACACAGATGTTCGACTTTTCTATCGATTATTATATTTGTTAAACTAATCACAAACGTCCATAATACCCGTGTGTTCATTATCCAGGACCAACAATAATGATAAATTGTTCTGTTCACTCCTCAAAATGGTCACAGTCATTGGATCGACTTTTTCCTCGTATCCTCTGTTCATCATACTGTGTCATTCAATCCAGTCAACTTATAAGTTCATTTCAAACGACTTGTCATCTTAATGATTGCTGACTCCAACGGTATCATTTCATCGATTCAATTCATCCTCAGATTCACATTGATTGGATGCTTCATTTTCTCTGAGTTCCTTAGCTTGAATGATCGCGATTGATTGGTCTACATGTTTCTTCGTTTTATCCATCGGATAGTCTCACTCTTTGATTGATCAGTTAATTGCTATAGGTTAATCTGAACAAATCCCTTATACTAGCCCTTCATTCTGTAGCTTCACTTTTGCTCCCTAATGAAGCGGGACGAGCGGTATCTGCAACTGAATTTTCTGACAACAGTTTTAACTGAGAGGCCGAAGTGATCTTTAACTTACCACAAGTATTCTTTTGAATTGAGTCTTCGTTTTCTGTCGTAACGATATTGATGTCTATCAATCGAATGGAGCGATAAGTTCATTGTAATTCATTGTTTTTATTCTATCTGTGTTTTTCATGTAGAAGTTCGAACCAGACACAATTTGAATGCATCGAAAACGGTAGTCACGTAGCTAACTGAGTACAATTGGCTACTATTCAAACGAGGAAACGTAAAGAAAGTGACTTAAATCTGCGAGACTCTCTCTTCTCATTATGAGTAGAGTCGCGTTTGGATGGGTTGGTCGTTGAGAGCAGTTTCTGTCTTCGCTCATTTCCATCTATCTATAATTCGAGCAAGTATCAGAAAAACCAACTGAAATATTAACAAATAAACAATACTTGTCAGTATTGATCTTGTGACATACTTTGTTGAATTATTTTCAGACTATCAATGTATAGATCTCAAAAAGATACTTGAATTGACTGAACTTGGCTCTGTGAAAAACATTTCTTCAATATGAATTGCGACAAATACGAACTTAACGATTGAAAACTGATCGTTTTTCACCTGGAATCGCTAATTTTCTTTTACTTTTTACTTTTTCTTTGCTGAAGAAGGTCAGATTCGGGTAAAGCTCAAAATTAGAAATTGCATGACATAATTTTTTGATTGCAACTTAGCGCTTCGTCTACCCTTGGATAGGCTGAAAAAGACTTTTGGGGACCAAGGCATGACCAAACTGTTAATGAAACAGTTGTTTTTCGCAAACTTTTATTTTCTTCTTAGAAATTCGCACTCTTTGATTTATAACTGCATAGTATTGTAAATGATTTCGAGAAAAAGTATACAGGAGATCTGTCGAGAACTTCAGGCAACAACAAACTTTGTGGAATTTTGAGAGAAAATCCTGAGACATAATCATGGATTATTTCTAGTTCGAAGCAGATATGAACTGGTCGAATCGTAGAGAATCATAATATTACTGTATTTACATTTGTTTGTTCAGAATATGGGTAGAGAAGACTAGGTTTCAGAAAAAACATATTTTTATCCCCTCAGTTTTCTGCATCTAGAAATAACTTGATATACCATTGAATAAGCAGTAAAAATTGGGATACTCTATACAGATTCCGAATAATGCAGTGCGCTCTCTGTAGCAATAGAATTTGAAAAGTCATTAAAACTCTGAGACTGGAGAAAACTGAAACTACTTACCTTAAATGAGTCAATGACACAAATTGCTAGGTAGATAAAAGGCTGTTTTCTAGTGACAGTATCTTATTTTAATAGAGCAATGCATCTATGATTTCAAAGTAACTGCCCTTTGATACTAATCAAGTTAGAAACATGACTTCTTCGGCTTTTATGAAAACTCCAAATGATCTACTGCGTTTAATATTAATATTTGATAGAATTTATGTGATCTTCTGAAAGACGCTTTCGATCATAATGTGCATGTTGATAAGTCCTATATCTATTAGAACTGTCGCATCATGCGATGAAACTGTCCAGAATTGTGATCAAAATCGGCATTTAAATGAAATTCCATTAGATGTTGATGGATGTCATTGTTAGCGCTGATCGGCCGAAACGGATCTGCTCTATGAAAAACATGTTGCTGATGCATTCGATTGTTGAAACGTGGAGAGAGAGGAATTGGTGTACGTGATCGTGGATGTTTTGCCGCGTTGAGAAACTGTTGGTGACCCTCTTCTTGAACTCGTGGGAAATTCGGTGGTGGACTAGGACATCGCACTGGCCGCTTATCAATTTTTCTCGGCTCGTGTTTGATGATCGGATCATAATCATCAATGCACGCATCGTCAAAATATTTCATCGCTTTGACGCTTTGTGGAGCTGGTTGTTGATGTTTTGGTCGTCGAAAATCAATAAGATGACGAATGCGATTGAATTGTTTCATCATATCATCAAAATACTGACGAATCAAATCTGAGTTAAAACGGGGTCTTGGCGGTAGTGAATAGGCTGGCTTTGGCTCTTCTTTTTGTAGCTTGTAATAGTCATCATAAAATTTTACAAAAATGGCATCCTTCGTCCCACATGTTTGACTGGTATAGTTGGGATATTTCTCCTTGATATATTTATCTGCTGCTCGTCGATACTTATTTAGCACGTCCTCAAGTTCGACAGCTGTTGGTCGCTGAATTGGTTCATCATGAATGCATCGAGTAATCAGATCAAAAAAGATCGAGCTTTGTTCAGTGAGTTGAATGCGTTTAGTGGCTTGAACGAATCGATGAAGTTTTTCTGTAAACAATTCATTAAGTGTCAATCCAAAAGTAAACACATCGAGTGATTGATCATACTGAGCGTCTCGTCTGTACAAAAAAAAATAGTGATCACTGCTTTTTACTCGAATATCGATGGTTTACCGATGAAATTCTGGTGGCATGAATGACAGGCAACCCATTAGTGTATGCTTTTCCTCAGGGTCGAAGACATGAGCTATACCCATATCACCGATTTTTGCTGTGTAATTACTTGAGACAAGAATATTATCGGGACGGATGTCACGATGAATCATCGTATGGGCGTGTAACTTGCTCATACCACTAACAACATGACATGCCATAGTCAATTTACGTCGAAGTGATATTTTCTCCATTTCGTTGTGGATAACATTTGAAAGACTTCCATGAGGCATGAATTCGGTTATTAAATAACATTCTTTGATACCATTAGCCATCAGACGTTCCCCATAGCCAAATGTTTTAAGAATATAAGCACCTGACAGTTCAGCATAAGCATTCAATTCTTTTCGAAAACTATCTTCCAAATGCCGTCTATGTGCTGTCACTCGGAATACTTTGCATGCTACTTCGCGGTTTTTTGACAACCAAACAGCCTTGTATACTTGACCTATAAATCTGAATATGTTTCAACGAACAAACAAGATGAGAGAACGAACCGAATGCTCCGTGACCAAGCACTTCACCCTTAAGAATATCATTTATATTGATTTTGAGCAGACTTTGATTGCTAGCGACCACTAGTGGATGAGTACTCTGATGATTTTTACTGGTCACTCGCTGTTGCATACACTTTGAACATAAATTGTAATTGTGACAAGTATCGCATTTGAATCGAACACCAACAATCTGTATCGAGCAACCATCACATTTAGTATTATGTTGTTTCCCAGCAAGAAGCTCGTTCAATTTCGCTAACGTGATATCATTCGGACAAGGTACATGCTCACCGAACAATTCATTGGGTATTTTAAAATGAACCATTGCATGTCCACTCGAGTGTGGTCGTGTCTCGCGTCGTTCTTCGAAACAGTAGCCACATAGATCATAATCGATGCATTGAAGACATTTGTATCGATCACTGTAGATATGAGCCGATCGGCAGCCGTCACAAGAGGCATTGTGTGTATTGCCAGATGAGATACCATCGATTTCCTCATTGTTATTGTATGGTTTTGCCATACTGAATTAATTTATATATTATAAAATTAGTCGTAATCTAGAAAAAAATTGAGAAACTTTTGCGCTGATTCAGTTCATGTTCTGTAACTGAAAAGTAGAGCAATACTTTTGTTGTCCGATTTCAATTAACTACAATTTATATAAGAGCTATACAAACCTTTTCTAAGATATAGCTAACTTTTCAAATCACGTATCTTTAATTTGCTGCTTAAACCTGCGACACATAATGACATGTAGAAGTTTGCTGTGTTATTGAGAGTAAATAAACAAGAAAAAAAACCAAGCAAAGGTCTGAAGATTTTTTTTATGGTAGAAATATCCAAACGTCTTGTTTGAAGAAAGAAAAAAAGACGCAGTGAGTGGTCTAACCAAATAATAAAAATGAATAACGTGAGATGCATGAATCAGACGTTTCGATTGTATTGACTCAGCAAATACTTGAGTAGCTATTGGTAGAAACCCATGGCGATGCATGATTTTGCGTAGACTTATTCACAGAATTGCAAAAATGTGTTGAGCCAAACGCTAGATGATTCATTACTATGATTGACAACGTCTCTGTTCAGCAAGCGGACATTCAGTACATGTTGTACATGATCATTATAATATATATCCCACCCCCTCAGAATAGAAGGTCACCATCATTAAAAGACCACCCCCAATAAACTCACGATGCGTAATAGAAGATCATGGGGTTTTCAGAAGCTTTTTTAGAAATCCAGTGGATTTTTAGATTTTTACTTAAAATTCCGGTTTTTTAGTAAAAAACCAAGGTTGTGTAGTTAAAATTACCTTTTTTTCTAGTAAAAAAACTGGTTTTACGGTACTTGACTGCTAAAAGTGTCTTTTTGAATGTCAGAAAATTTTTCCAAAAACCCTTGGTTTTCTAGGTAAATCTTAACAAAAAATAGCCCACCATAGAAGGCTACCTTCGAAGAACCGATGTAAATTTGTATAATAGAATGCCATGACCTCTTATACTGTGGAGCGGTTTACTCATGATTTGAGAAACGACAGTTCAATCATATTCTATACTTAAAACCAAAACTTTTCTTATCATCCACCGTGACGATTAGATGAAGTGCAAAAAAATCAATTGAGTAACTAAGAAGACTACAGTGGAACAGATTATTGTCATTTAGCATTGAACAACTGACTTGAACTACTGCGATATATCCCCTCAATTCCCAAAGGTCATAGTGAGAACCAAGGGTGTCTGTCTCAGAGTAGGAGGAAAGAGAAGATTTACATCCATATCCTACACACCCTTAAAAAGGAACTTCATGATGACGCTCTATTTCTTTCTTCAAAGACAAAATTTTTGCATTTTCAATTTTTGCATCTTTCCTATATGCAGCTCATTATCAAAGCTGAATATTTTCTATCGAAAGCTCTTTTGTCATATTTCCTATTGAGCAAAGCTTTTCAATTCTGTAACCAACGCTCAGATTCGAAAGCTATTTTTAGTAATTTCATTCATGAGCCGGTATATTAATCACACAACAGGTATACGAGCTGGCAAAGTAATGAAACTTTCTAAATCTTTAGTTTACATCCTCAATATAACACTTTTCTATGAAGAATATCGATTACTGCGTATTAAAATTTCTCGATATCTTACATATGAGATTGATACCTGAGTTTTTTATGTAGCCTTCCTTGATTATACTTTGAACAATGCTCAATCTCAAATCAGACTTGGAACCAGTACCGCTGTCGGAGCAGCTAGTTGGCCGATTATCTGTTCGGTGCGGCTCAAATTTTTCAGTCAGTTGGCTTTCACCGGCTTTTTAACAATCTTTAGTGGACTGAATCTAGTATATTTTGTTCATTTTTATCAATTTTGACAGTTTTTGAAGTCCACGAATATGAACACAAAAGGTTTTAATTGACAAATTTCTAGTTGTCATCTAAATGATAGCTCGAAATTTTAAAATCAGACTTTCTCGTAGCACTCTATGGATCTTGGAACATGGTTGAATGTGTTAATTATGACCATGCAATTTTAGGCAGTCACCAGATATGGAAATCGACTTGAACTAAAGATTTTATAGCTTGAAATTTGAAGATCACTTTTCTGGGCTGCTTTTCACCGACTCTCAGGAACTCTCAATGACTAGTCATGGGTACAGTTGAATAAATGGCGGTCTCAGTATTTTCCCAATATCTTAATATTTTTCTTGACATGTAACACAATTTGCTTCATTAAAATTGTTCATCATAATTTTTAGACATGCGGTACAAACAATTAGTGTAAAATATGTAATTTTCGTACTGAGTTTTATTGTAAAACTATCTTTTCAAACTTATTGATTCGAGAAAAAAAAATACTACTTTTCATTTTGATTTGTTCCTACTTATAATATTCAGAAATTTCCATCGAACTTGGATAGCATTGCTAATATGTGTATTGATTATAACCAAGCACAATTTTTTTTATGGATAAGATAGAAAACAGTTGTCAGAGTATCATTGAGTTAAACAATGGAATATGAGTTTATAATGTCATGTTTGGATTTTCACTCACTGTTAAACACCTGATACTTTACGTTTATGAAGGCATATAGATTTTTTCGATTTAATAAATATCAAAGGACTATAGTTCTTAGGAATAAATGAGAATCTTTTTAATCTGATGCAAAACTGCTAATCAACATTTAACTCAATGATAGTCTAATGATAGTCTAATGATAGTCTAATGATAGTTTTCTGCCTTATCTTATCCATAAGAATCGTTGTGCTTGGAATAATCAATACACATACCTAGCTAAACTATCCAATTTGATGGCAATTTCTGGATACTGAGTAGGAACAAATCAAAATGAAAAATAATATTCTTTCTAAAATTAATAAGTTTGATAAGATAGTTTTACAAAAAAAACTCAGTACGACAATTGCATATTTTACACTAATTGTTTTTATTGCATGTCTGAAAATTATGATGGACAGTTTGATTAAGAGAAATATACATTTATTTTACCATATTCGTTAGTTTCAATTCATGATTTTGTTTTATAAATATCGCAAAAGATTCTGTTTTGATATTCAAGTTTTGCCAACTGTTATTTTATGAAACCGTCACAATATTTAGGGATTTCAAAAAACTAAAAGTATGAAGTCCAGATAAAAATCGAACTTAATAACTCGTTTTGTCCTACTATTGACAAGAGGAGGATTATACGAATTGAGAAGTCTTCCAGTTGCGTTAAATAATGACCTAAAGTAAGAAAACATGAAGTTTATGGAGTGCGTGTTAAAAAATTGTATTATTATTGTAGAAAACTCAGCAAAAATAATGTATATGTTGTTTAACATCAGTTGCTTTGAGTTGATCGATGGAAATTTTCCCAAAGATTTCTCGCTTCATTCTTAGTATTAGTTTATATGGAGTGCAACAGACTACAATACAACTTGTTACAATCAGAAACTACAACAGTTACAAGCTTCAGATTATCTGACTTCGTACAGCTGTACTATTACACTTTTTCTCGAAATAACTAGGTGACTAGTTAATGTATTTAAACGTACCATTTTTTCGTCGATTTTCTGTTGGCTAAGTTNAGATGTTAAGAACGAAAGTATCGATACTGAAAATCGTACGAGAAAGGTTTTTGCAACTTTAGAAAAAAATTTGGAATTGGGCTCCCCCCTTAAAAAATTCCTGGCTACGGGCCTGATGGTGTGTAATATCAAGTGATAGTCACCTTTGAATTTAGAAAAAGAAAAAGAAATGAATGTATCCATTGTTAATAAGAGAACAAATATAGATGCAAATTTACAGATTGCATTTTGGATAAATGTCGACGAATATTTGTTTGATTTTTTTTCCAGGGAATAAAATTCATTTAGATTCTCTTTAAATAGTATTAAATCTTCCTTTTGTGTTCAAGATGAGAATCATTTGAATTTTGTTTCTCATCAATTAACCTATTCATCATTTAACCATCGGGTTATTGTGCATTGAACGATAAGAGAAAAAAGGTTATTATACAGCGCATATGAAACATGATACGATAAAAGCTGTTTATATCATGCTATTTAAAAATTTGTCGGAAGTGAATCATAAATGATGTAAAAGTAATGAATGGCATAAATCTCGAATATAAATGGAAAGGCAAAATTTCTCTCCTTTTTTTGAATTATAAATGGTGAACTGTTGTCGAACAAAAGTGACGCAAGAGAAACGAAAGTGAAAGAAATTTTACTTAATTATATTTAGTGGAAACATCGTTAAAAGAAATGATTATTGTAATCAAATATTGACAAGATTCTATCGTGAAATTGTTTTCAAAGAATTACAATTTGATATGTTGTTACTAATTATTATTTGTAATTAACAATGAAGAAAATGAATTTGATACAAAAATAATGAATTATGTTTGTAATAATAAATTTCTTAATTGTGATAATCAATGATTTGTTATGTTATACTTTTCTTTGTAGCTCGAATATCTGTCAGAGCTCTTATTCATTGTTCTTCACAAATATGAATGTGGCAGCGAGAGCGAAAAAGAAACCATATGTGCTTTGCACTTCGAAAATATTTCCAATTTTTTTTGCAAAAAGTTGTTTTTTTTTTGAAAAAAAGACTGAAGAATGGTTAAAAAAAAGGTTTTACATCTACCCATGTGGAATAAATTGTATATGTACCCATGTCGAATGTTTGTTGACACTACCGTTAATGTACCACGGTACTCATACGTACCGACGGTCGCACTTAAGACTTTGGATTCTAGCCATAAATAACTACAGAGAGTGTTTCTACTCAAATTCGAATTATATATTAGAAAGAGTTCAAATTAATCGAGAAGAAAACAGTTTCAGAATATCTGTTACTAATAAAAACATTTGTAACACCATCTGTAAAAAAATTTTATCTCATAACTGAGACCAATTTAAGGTTTTGGACTATTTCAGGCAGCTTAGTCGTATCAACATAATTAGAGTGCATTGAGAACAACTTAATGCTGTCAGTTTTAAAAGACTTCAAAAATATTCACCTGTTGTGATACAATACTCTATGAAAGAACATTTTCAAAAAAAAAGTATTGACATTGTGCACATTATACCGATCAGTATACCAGCGGTAGTTTCTTGATACTTATCATATGGTTATCTTCGTAGCTCTCAGCAAATTTTTCTTACACTTTTCTGTCAGTCACGCAATCTTCCTTGTGTTCAATTCAAGCATAAGATATGCAGTAAATTTGTATGTTTCCATTTGTGTTTTTAGTTTGATTTTGTTGCTGAAATTATTATTTCATCATCAAAAGGTACCAAATTTAATAATGAAAAAAATTGAATATACTATTATTGTTTTTCATTTGAATAATTCACGCATAGATAAGCATTCTCGTTTATTTTTCGGATTAAAAAAGTGAAATACTCTAGTCTGTATAATTAAAATAAAAATTCCACACACAGAAATCAAAGGTTTATTGTTTGATGTTAAATAGTTGGGCATAAAAAAGGAAACGCCAATGAATACATGAAAGAATATTTATAAAACCTTAAACTTATCAAATCACTCATAAAATAAAATAATAAGACACACTAAGTTTTTAAAGACCAGCGATATGCATCGCACTTCCAATTTTATCGACAATATACTAAAACAAAATTAAAATAAAGAAAATATAAAAATAAATCAACAAAATAAAATTTACTTTAGCATTGGATATAGTTTTAAATTTAACTAATTTTCCAAATGATTGATGCGATTTCATAGTTCCAGTTGATTTTGGTTCCTAAAAAAATTTTAAAAAATTAGCGTAAATTTTATGTCTTAAATTTTATTGAGATTTTAAATCAACTAGCCACAATAAATATATGATTAGTCTCACATAATATACATTCTCTACAATAGATGATGATATTTTCTTTATTGCTTTTGATATTACAGATGATTTGACTTAGTTCTTGGTGTTTTTTTTCTTGATTTGATATTATTTTCTATTTCTGTTTGTATTTTTTTCTCTCTTTACTTACTTTGGTTAAAATTTGAATTTGATTTGTGTTTATTTTTATAGTTGGTTCTTCTTTTAAATCTTCATAGAGTATTTCCCAATCGATTTCATATAAACCAAGAAATGATATTTCAGTTACGAATAATAAACGTCTAAAAATATTCTTTTAATAATAGCAATCAAATTTGATTATTTTACTTTGATGTTGCCATTAACCAAGATAGTGGACTATCTGAACAAGTTATATGAGCAACATATGTATCCGATTTGGCATAATTTCCATCTTCTAATCGCTAAAATTTCATCAATAAAAAGAAACAAAAGAATTTAAAATTATCACGAGAAAGATTTATGTTACATTCAATATATAAAATCCCATAGCTTCATGAGCAACGTAAGGTCGAACAACACCGTCACGACCAACATGACGTGGATAACGAACACGACGAACAATTTCTTCTTGTTGAGCAGTTCTAGAAGAAAATCAAGTTTAAATATTTTATTAACATACATTTTCTATATTCTTGTTTATAAATATGAACGAAAGACTTTCTTCGATCATGAATAAACAAATAATTCATGAAGATCAGTAGTGTAATACTTTTCTTTCTCTCATTAAGTCTCATTTTTCTGAGTCATAATGTAGCATTGACTTCAAACAGTGACTCATACATGCTAGCTAAATTTTTTTCAAGAAAACAGGACAAAAAGTCTGATTTTATATAGAATAAGCTCAATCAATTTAGAAAATAGATGATATCATATAGAACAGAAAATTTTCGGACATTCTAGTTACCAGTAGAGTCCTTCTATAGTCAATATTTTAGTTCAAAATGTCATCATGCCATTCTTTTGTACATACCGTACTAAAGACTGAAACCTCAGTAAAACAGCTATATCTCTGTAGAGAACTCCTAGAAATCTTTATCCTTCTCAGAATTTTTAATACTTCATTCAAGTCTACCTTACCCACAGAGTTCGAACTCAAATGTTATTTTCACGCTTGGAAGGTTTCCGCATAAAACTTAATGATTTATAATATTTATGGTATATCTTATTCTTAAAAAACAATCCCTAAATGAAAATTTCTACTGATGTATGTGACAATTTGTGAATGATGAAATGTGTCTATAAACAAGACTATTTTACCTTTTGATTAAATCGAGTGATGTGCTAGCGAAATCTACAATACCACCTGTTGGTCGTGCGACAAGACCAACAACACCTTGTCCTAAACCTTTGAAAAAACCCGATGCTCCACCATGTTTTGCTCCTCTTATTGGTTTTGTTACCACACCCTTAACACCATCAACAAAACCCTATTTCAGAGAAGAAAAACAAATAAATTTCAAATTCTGTCATAGAAAAAGTATCAACAAACCATAACAACATTCTTTCCTCCTATAGCAATATGTGTTGTAGCAGTCACTCCCGGTTCTTTGCGTCGAATACGTGAAATCTTATAATCTTCATCAAATGTTAAACTTGCTAAACCTTTTCCAAACACACTAGTTATTTTTGATGCAGCACCAGCAGCACCACCAACAGCTGAACCAAATAATGCTTTAAAACCAGTTGCTACACCTTCAGCGAATTCTAATGGACCTTCAATTGCACCCTTAAAAATAAAATACAAAGATTATTATATATTTTCGTTTTGTGTTGTTTTTAATTTTACTTTATATGGCTCATAGAAAAATGATTCAACACCTTCTGCAAGACCACGAATAACACCAAGCGGATTTCCAAGTACATCAAGTCCAAGCACTAATACATGAAGTTGTTTCATAAATTGATTTTGATAATGAGATGAAACTTCATTTGTTATTTTTGTTGTTGTAAATTTTTCATTTTTTCGTTCATAATAACCCAAACTAGAAGTTCAACAATTAAAATCGAATAAATTTAACAAAAATGTGAAATTCCTACCGTAAAATAACATCTTGTACTTCGGCAACGTTTAAAGTTTGTAGAAGAAATCCAACTAATGGATATTCAGCTAATAACTCTTCACTTGGATTTGATCCATGCATCGAAAAACTAACATGAATCTAAATATAATTCTTTACTTAGGAAAAACAAAACCCAAACTAAAATATTATTTGTTTTCAATACTTTAAGTGGTGATAAATGAATATTATCAAAAAACATTTCTGTTTCACCGGATGGACTTTCAATTTGTGCGTTAATGATATCATGAAGTGGTTTTTGAATTTGTTCTAAATCAGTATTCATATTGATTGCTGGTGCTGCGGTAACCTATTGAAATGAAAGCAAAAAAAAACAGAATCAATAAAGAAAAACGCTGAAAAAATACAAACATTGTCTGGTTTTAAAAAGTTGAGAATGGCAACAATTAAACCCTGATCAATTTGAACAGCAAATTCTTGAATAAGTACTTTAAAATATTTAAATTGCATTATATTTGATTGTGCTGTTTTAGACTGATAAACACTTAATTCAATAAATGGTTTTTCAACATAATCAGATCCTGTTCCTTTTGAAACACTTGGATGAAGCATAACAGGAAATATTGTATAATCAAGTTGATTATCAATTTGTACACGATTAATACGTAGATGTATTGCAGAATTTGATGCTGACCATGCATATTCAATCCATAGACCATCTAATGCTTGTCGTTTAGCAATTTTTTGTTGAGATTTTGAATGAATTAATTCTGCTTTATCACCATGAAATGAAATTTCCTTCAAAAAAAAGAAAATACTTTTTTGTTTGCATGAAAAATTTTAAAAAATGAATTATACTCGAAATCCTTCCATTTGATATTTTTTTCTTTGAAGTTCCTTATCATCGGGATTCATTTCACACTGTTCAACATGAGTTGTATATAGTTCTTCTAAATATGTATTAATACTACGTGATAAAGGTTTAGTGCGATTCTTTTTTATTTCAGTCCAAACAACTTTTGATTTATTTAAACTTATATAAAACATTTCTTCTCGTGTTAGATCATTAACAATAGAAATACCAATATCGTGTATACCAATTTGTATATGTTGATCCATAGATTCAGCTACTGATGGTATCTAAATGAATAATAATTGATTTAGTTCTTTTGTCGCCTTAAATAAAGATGAAATTCATACTTTTGAAGCTGATTCTTTTGCTTTTTCCTCATCAGAAAAGAGTAAAACTGTTTGAATACCATCAATAAATACAGTATAAGTTACATTAGATTGACCTTCTTGACCAAGTGCAATACGTTGAGGCTGTAAAGAAAATTTTCAATTTATAAAATTTTAGTGCTAAAAAGTTTTTCGAATAATCAATAAAAGTTTTTAAAATTAGAACAGGCTTATCTGAATCGAATATTAAAAATGATTTATAAGGACAAAAAAAAGCCAACATGGTTAAAACGTCTTGAAGTATATTCTAGTTCTACTGTTGGTATTATTTAATCATTTGCAGGAGTTAATAGACCTGTTTCATGTTGGTGTAAAGACACGAAAGACTACTATACGAGAATTATTCAAGTCAAGAGAAAATGTTTTCAAATATATGTATATTATACAAGAAGTATTTTGTTCCACATTGAAGTCTGACTTCGTTCGAATCAATAATTTGAACAGTTTTGCCGACATCAAACGTAGTTTTCATGTTTTTCGTATTTGAAATTACTATCATAGAGTGTCAAAATAGCTTGATTCAATGGTAGAGGTATGAGTTGTAGACATTTTTGTTCTACATCGCTATCTTCTTTTTCATGCAAATTAGATAATCATGCACTACAAATGCACTTTCTGTTGAGTGATGATGTATAGGTGCTTGGTTGTATAGCAGAGATGTCCATCACAACTGGAATTCTCGCCACAGTCGTAGAAGCGTCAACGCTACCGCACTGTCGCGATAGTATTGCCGATGACGTCACAGTGGCAGCATCATCATGGACATCTCCACTGTATGCGTGAAGGAAGAAAGACAAGTGGAACATATTTTATCAGACGTAGTAAAGAATACTGTTTTCTACGTTCAACGAAGAAAATAAAATGAAATTAGATGAAATTTGAGTTTTACTTGACTGCGAAATGTCGTATCAAACTTCGAATGTTGATTATTGAGAAATCGATATCTCATTAAAAAAAAGTATAATCGTTTCTACGATTAATTACACCACGGTTTACCATCCGAGATATTTACAGATCAAAGCGATGTGTTTCTTTCGTGTCACTCATGTTTGAAACTCGATTTACCTACATTTCGTTCAATCAAGTGATCGAAATAAAAAAAAACGAAATAGTAAAGAAGATATAGCAAAACTCATTATTATGAGAACTCTATCCATGCTGGTCGATATGTTTCTATGACAATGCTTTCGATTGGTCGTTTAATTATTCATATGATTTATTATCTATTGTTAGCTAACTTCATAACTGCAGCGCATAACATTAGCTGTGTACGAAAAAGTGACGAGTAACTTTTTATGCTGTTTTCAGTTTAATTATCTCGAAAAAGAAAAAAAATAGCATTTTTATTGAGCTCACTACATTCGAAAAGCGGTAGAATATTTCACTATAAACTTAAGCTATGATCCTGACAATTTTTTTTGTCTTGTACTTCCAGTCTCAACAATTTCTCTTTCTCGTAGTCCCAGTAAAGTCTTATTTTTGTTTCCAGTCCCGGTCACTAGGTCCCTGGATTGGTTCCGCACATTTTTACTTGTGAACCTTAACATAAAGCAAGTATTTATTTATTATGTCATGCAGACATTGAAAAAAGTAACTGTTTTTAAAACTAAATACTGAACACGATGATCATACGGATATGTGAATATGAATGAAATGAAAACCCATTGAAAACCACACCCAGATCCACGCCCTATTTCATCTATTTTACTGACCGTCTAAATCTCAGTCCTTTTCTTTGTCAACAAACAAAATTACTTACAGTAAGTTCTACTTTCGCTGTTTTAGATCCACACGATATCGTTAATGCTCTTGGTAGTAATGGATCTATCCATGTATAATAAACATAATTTGATGGTGGTAAAATTTGTGTTCGTCTACATCAAGGAAAGAAAACCAACAAACTGAATTTTCTTTAAAAAAAACTCATTTAAACTTACACATCACTAGTTTGACAAAATGAAACAGGATCATTTTCTAGATAATTTATAATAAGTAAAGGTGCATCACCAATTTTATAATCTCCAAATATAACTTTGACACCATCAAAATCTGTTGCTGCTACTTCAACATAAATTGCTGGACGTTCTTCATCATCTATGCGTAAAAGTGTTCGATGTTTTTGATTCATTTTAAATGGACTTGATGTTATTTTATTATGTGCATAGCGAACACACATTAAACTATCTTTTATATTACGTGGCCAAAATGGAATTAACTGAAATTAATTTTTGTCTTTTATCAAAGCGAACTTTAAAAAATATATTTATTTACTTGTTCAGGATTGATCGTTTCCCATTTACCTTGCTCTTCATTAGATACAGTTTCTATTATTTCAATTCCAATCTTTCAAAAGCAAAAAAAAATAAATTAATAATATAAAAATAAAAATCTTTTGCAGCATACCGTTGATTTATTAATAATAACCATTGCTGGTGAAAGTGTAACAAGTTTTGTTAAACCAAATGAACTTGTTGCAATATCCACACAAATCTATTTAAAAATTTCTTTAATCGAAAATGTTTTTCTTTGTCTATGAATTTATTTTACCATATATGTTCGATCATTGGGCACTTTACAACTGGTCAAACCCGTACTTTTAATAACATCAAGAGAAAATTTTTCTGACCATTTTGCTGTTGTATCACTTTGACCAATACCATAAACACAAATTTGTCCCTGTTGATAAAATTGAAAATTTCATTAAGTTTTTATTTTCTAAGTTAATTTATTTACTTTTTTGTTTGCTTCACTTCCAATTTTTTCTGGACAAACTAAATGTGGTCTTTCAATAACATCAATAAATGTTCGATTATTTTCAATCTATCAAAAGAAAAATTATATAATATAAAAATAAGAATTATTTTACTTGAAATTCAAGTTTAAGATCTGTACGATTAAGAATCCACAGTGGTGAATATAATAATAAACGATATGATTCATGAAAAGCATCAACACGTAAAACCATTCTCTTTTAAAGTTAAAAAAAAAACAAAAAGTAATATTAAAATTCTTTTCTTTTGTGTTAATAAGATTTTTACTAGTATTTGTTGAGGATCCGAAACAGCATCATTACAAAAGATAACCATATGTTCATTATGATCACCTTTTCCTTCAACTTTTAAGTCAATCGGTTTAGATATCCATTTTATATTATCATATGATGGAATCTAACAATAAACGAATTCATTTCAAATAAAAAAAAAGAAAAAAAAACTTACAGTAAAAACTAATGAAGCATTTCTACCACCAGATGTAACTAAATATAATTGACTTGGTTGTAAAGTAAATTGTTCGACATTCTAAATAGAAATATAAGATTATTTATTGCTATGCATAATTTCTTTAAGAAAAGGAAGCAATAAATCGTATCAATTAAATTTAATATCGTGAGTAGAGATATGCGTGATCAACCTTTTGCCACTGATTCCCATCATGGTACCGGTAAAACTGATCTAGTACCGGTAAATATGATCCAGCACCGATTCCAATCATACTCCTGTTGTATCTGATCTAGTCTCCATCCCGATCATAATCTCAGAAAATGTGGTCTAGTTCTGGTCTTAGCAACTTCTCTTTAGTATGGTCCCAATTCCGGCGAATTTATTTTCTTGTGGTGCCGATTCTATTACTAAAATTAGTCCCGTATATCTTTGATTGCAAGTAATAGAAAATGACAGACACATAAGATGAAATTTCCAAATGTGAATGGATCGATTCGTGGCGGCTTCTAGATGCGAAGTTTGTGAAATATTTGTTTCTAGAAACGAGCATTTCTGACGACTGGAATCATCAACTTGAATGTCTATCTTTATCATTCCTATATGGAAATGTTCTCTACTAGCAGAATAGATAAATATTATTAAAATAATAATCACGATTTATGTGTTAAAATATAGGGTGTGATTTATCAAACAAGGTAAATTGACCTGAAATATGAGAATAATAATTTCTTTTCATTTTAAGTTTTATTATCTAATTAATTAAATAAGATCTTCGACTTACGTCAATTGAACATTCAATATTAATTGGCAAAAGATTAGTTAAATGAAGTGCTGGATGAATATGAAGATTAAAACTTGTTTGATTAAGTACATCAGTATTTTCTGAATAAGCATCAACTAATTCTTTGAAAACCTTCAAATATATAAATATTAGAAATTGAAAATTTTCTTCAAGAAATCTTACAATAAAATTAGCTTGATTTCCATTTTTTAATTTTAGCATTCTTTCTGTTGAAAATTCTTTATCCCAATCAAATGAAAAAAAATCATTTACTTCTTCACCTCTATAAAAAAAAAATCAATATCTTTTTTTCGCTAATATTTTCAATTAAAAAACAATTTTACTCATCAATTGCAATAAATATCGGTGAACTTGCATATGCATAAAGTAAGTCAATTGGTACATGATAATCTTGATTAACTTCAATTCTTGCTATTCGACTATGTTTTCTTGGATCAGTTGAGTCAACATTTAAAATAAGTAATGGTAATGTTGTATTATTATAAACTCGAACAACTGAACTGAGAATAATACGACGACGCTCATTTTTTATTTGAGCATCACAAAGCATTTGAATCGGCCAACGTGCATTTAATGATGGACCTAATTCATATACACGTTTCCATGTTCGACTTGTGCTAACAGTTTTAACAACATCTCCGATCTAAAAATTAGTTTTTTGTTCATAGACAAATAAATGTAATATATGATGCCAAAGTCTCGGCACAAAATATTCGCTCGAACACAGTTGTTTAGAACAAGACGGAGCTAGTTAGAATCAGGGTTTTTCAGACTTTCAGAATATGTATTCAGAATTTCCTTCGAAGGTAAAATTGGAAAAGTATCATCAGCTTGTATCTAAAGGTCTAAATTAATGGTTGTACAAAATACTATTTTAGTCACTTTTGTATTTCGTTTGAAACCTATCAAATTTAAAATGCGAGACAGTGTTTAATGACTCACTAGGAAAACTCTTCAGATGTTAAATTGATTTTCAATTGACACGATGTTTGTTGAATGTGTACTGACAAGTAATAGAAAAGTCTAGAATGGTTTTGGTTTTTTGAGCCTTCAGTCTTGAGATATTGAAATTTTAGTAGGTTCTTCAATAAAAGGCTGTGACCCTTCTCAGATCACATGAAAAATCGATTCTCGAGTTTTGACTTCAAATTTTGTATGAACAAAGTTTCCACTGATATTTGTTAATTAGGCAAGCTGTAACTTTTCCAGTATCTCATATCATGAGATATGCAATATTCGAAATTCTTTCATATGTAACAGCAAGTTTTGTTTATATATGTACATCTGCAGAAAGAAAATAATAAAAAAGCTAAAACTTACACAATCAACTAATTTTATTAAGAGCTTTATCCGTGGAAAGTTTGAAATCAAAACTCAAAAATTGATTTTCCACCTCATCGGAGAGGGACCAGAGCTTTCTCTTGAATAAGTCAGCAGACTACGAATATCTCAACGACAAAGGCTCGAAAAATTAAACCATTCGAGAGTTCTTCTGATACTCACTAGCACTCATCAGATGGTCATCATCTCGGGTGAAAAGCATTTTGATACCTGAAGAAGTCTCCTCATGTGTTTTGTAGATCAAAATTTCCATGACAGATTGTAAAACTTTTGTGTTCTTAACCTCTTGAGGATGGCACACGCATATATATATATATATATATGTATGGTTTCGAATCAACTTCTGTTTAAATTGTGCATACCTCTCATGATGCTGTTGTGGTCTGTGGTATCACAAAGATTATCAATCTGTTATACTGCCATTCGTATTGTGTGGGCGTGGGTGCGACTAAAGAGAAGGCTTACACTCATTCATACCCTCGAAGCTGTCATACTCCAAAAATACTCTCAGATATTTTTTGATATCTATATGAATAAGTATACCTCATCAGGTTTTGAAAATATCCATTGTTTTCCTAGAAGTAACCCAATTCTGAAGGACTTGAAAGCAGTTTTTGAAACAGCATTTTTTTTTATCAACGTTGATTCTCACATAAACTAACTCTTAAATAGAAATGCATAGATGAGATTTCACTATTTATAATATCTCATTTTGCAGAGAATTGAGTTGACGCTGTTCCAAGACACAAACTAAGGGCTGTGCTAAAACCGTTATTTTCCTGCGTACAAAGGTCGTTTTAAACTTTTTCATAAAATTGACTATCAGTTGTTCAATCTTAGTCCAGAAGGAAAATCTGAACTTATATTCGAAAATAGTAAAAAACTCTGTTTCTACCTAACTCTAACCAGTTATCTTTTAATGGTAAAAAATAATGAGCGAATATTTTGCACCAAGACTTTCATATCATAGGTTATTTTAAATTTTTTACTTTAACAGAAAATTCTTGTCGTTTTTTAAAAGTTTGTTCATCAATAACTGAAAGTCTTCCAGCTGTTTGATGTTCATTAGCCACATTTAATGGAATAGATTGATTTGTTTGAAGAGTGATTGATTTTAATGATGAATCAATAGCAAACTTTGAAGAGATATCAATAAATAAATAAATAAAAGCTAATAAAACGTTTTAAACGTACTTGAAGTCCATCTAAATTATCAATAAACAATTCTCGTCCTGTTTCATTACATAAAGATAACAGTGGTTGATCATCATCATCACTTGGTGGCAATCGTTTATTATAAACATCATTAAATAAAGCTGATAAACGTTGAACAAGACCAAGACCAGTTTTTGTTATTGTTATATTAAGTAATTGATCAGCACGTACAAGTATTATCTGCTTAGATTTTGAAGATGAAACATCTTCTTTTCGTTCTTGTGCATCTATAACTGATGATTCAGTTTTTTCCGTCAATGGAAGAGCCTGTAAATTAGCAAAAAAATAAAGACATATTTTATCTTTCGAATAAAAATGTTCAATTTATCAGTTGAGTTTAGTTAAAAATAAATCCATCACCAATAATACTAGCAACATACGTTATAAATAGTTTTTCTATAATATTCTTCCTCTTCATCTTGCTGAAATAAGGAATAGATAAAATTATAGTTTTTTAGGATATTTATATTTGATTTTTATTAAACTTTATGTTTATATAATCAACATTATGTAGAGTTCTATGGAATGAAAATAAATAAAATTTTGTTTCCATGTTTATTCGTAATGGTTATTTTTAGATTTTTTTGACCCATGTTTAACTGTACTTTGCGGCCTATAGAGGGATAATTCTTTAAAAAATAGGTCTAGACGGAGTCTTGCATTTCGACACGATCGGATCTCGCTTCGAAGTAGATCAATCGGACTCGATCTGAGATATAAGTGGTTATTAAAACAAAAAAAAGAAAACTTCAAATACATATCTAGACTTGAATAAAAAGACACTAGAAAAAAATTCCTGAGCCATATGCTTACGGGTAAGATTGAGCATGTAATACACCATGGTGAAATACGTGCACCTTCAGAAGCAATTGTTGGTTCAATAAGTGGTTCCCAACTAAGCATATTTTCATTGTATAATGCTGCTTCAACATTTACTGTTGATGCAAGACTCATCTGAATGAATGAAAAGATAAAATGAAAATGAATTGAAATAGAAAAGTTTTTACATTCGATGACCAATTTTGAACATCAGCCGTTAAATTTGATAAACACATAGCTACAACAGATTTTGTTACTGAACCTAATCCAACTTCAAGTTTAACTTCAATTGTTTCCAATATTAAAATTAACTAAACAAAGACGAATTTTATATTTAATAAAAAAATCATGTCATTTTTGTGTTTTAATTTCATTACTTGTTGTATTAATGGTTTTTGTATCTCTTCTTTTTCTTTAACAACTGTCTGTTGTGATGAAGTATCTCGAGCTGTTTCTGATTCATCAGTTTGTTGGGATTTTTTTTCATAATCTATTCAATAAAATAATTAAGTGAATTCTATAAAAGTATTTAATAAAACCTTTTGTAAACCAAAAATGTCCATCTTTTATAGGTTTTGGATTAAATAATGATTTCGAATTAAGTTTTTCAGTTTCCTCTTTCGTAGCTGCCTAAAAGTAGATAATAATACAATTAAACTTGATAGATTACTGTTTTGTTTCTTTTCTTCTCACCTGTAATGTTCCTAATGAGCTTGTAACACCAATAAGAGTGCGAATGGCAGCTGGTGCAATACTAACAATAATATCCGATATTCGTACATCTATTTTTTGTTGTTCATTATCCATTGTTAGATATATATCAGCTTTAGCTGGTTGTAAAATCTTAATAAAAAGTTCAATTATTAAATGAATCAATTATTTTGTGAAACACGATCTAATAGGAATATTGAAGTATATAGAGTAGAAATGTGCACCTCTACAAATCATGACAGACGATGTTGATATACGATCTGTGATCGTATATCAATCACGTCTCATTATAATATTTGAACTACTTCCTTATTGCAGAACTGAAGGATTCTGTAAGAAGACGATGAAAACATTTTGTCTGAAAATAATGGATGCACCATAAATAATGACACCATACATCTTTTCTATTTATTTTATTGACATTTATGGATCGAAAACCACACGGCACCCTTATATCTAACATTGAACGTGATTGCTTCAATTTGACAATCCTCAAGTTCTCCAATATTTACCTATTTCTTGCACATAATAACTCCTATTTAGGGTTTTGTTTACTACAGCTTAAGCTTTTCAAGAGATATTTATTTCTTGTTTGACAGATACTCGATGGATGGCTGCGCCTGGAAACTTTTAAAGACTAATCGTTTTATCATATATTAGTGTTTGGAAGGGTTGGCTTCTCTCATGAAAGTATATCATAACTCTCATTTTAGATTATTATTCTTAAAAGTTGGGAAAATATGATGAAAGACGACCAGAATAGAATATTTCAACGTAAGGTTTTGATCAATTTCCAAGGAAGTCAATGGAAAAGAAGATAAAACACTCATAATCAAAGCTCAAGGTTGCACTTAGTGCCCATGAGTACTTCTGCTAAATATAGCAAAACTTCTGTTAGTGAACACCTTCTATGTAAACGCATATTTCGGTGCCTTCTATCGACTTTGGTTGTAAACACACCTCTATATAGTGAATGCACATGAAACAAAGTATGCATGCGAGTGGTAAAACGAGAAAAAGAGCCAACGCAGTGTACACTCTGAAACGATACTAGGCCAATTCGTCGTACGCAGAAAACAAAACGAACAATAAGAATGAATAGCCCTTGACGAATTGGCCGGCTATCCCTGAAGCAACAGAGTACGTGTCTAGTGGCAAGCGTGAAATGACACCAAGACTTCCGTTTTCAATTAGTGAAACGAAATCAATCGATAATCTATTCATCTTAGATGAAGAACCCGACAAAAGTAATAATTACGAGGAAGACGACGACATGCCGATTGAGACGTCAGTCAAGCTCATCGAGACAATGGAAATGATCAGGCGATTTGTATCTAATAGCTGTAAATCGGCAACTACGACTATATTCGCTCATTGTGCAGTTCGACTCGTAGCTCATTCAATACTAAATCGACTGGACAGAACTCAATCAAACAACGATGAGTGACTTTTTAAAGAAAGATTGAAGAAAACTGTACAAACGATGGACGAGATAGTTTTCTACTTTGGATTAACTAGAGTGAATTGTACGTCCTATGCATAGTCACCGGATAATCATACAAACGACTATATACATACATGCACCAGTTTAGTCAATGTAAAACTTCGATGAAGTGAACATCTTCCTTAATGAATACTTTTTGGAGGGTTCTGATTGTATTCACTATATTGAGGCTTTACTCTATAGAGAGTTTATCACTCAATGTAAAGAAGCTCGTTTCTGTGTGATAATGTTCTTCGGAAATGTCCATCACTGTACATAACAATAAAGTTTCTAGAGCATGTCTCGCACGTTCAAAACAAATTAACAAAATATAGCAAATTATTTGGAAAACATCCTCTAAAAATCAGTACATATTAGAGAAGATAAATATTCTTCAGTTGTCTCGTCAGCTTTGAAGATAAGATCTAATGTTCTTCTGTAATTTTATATGGCATGGGACAGTGGATCGTTTGAAATCAAGCATAACTTTCTACCTACAAATGTAGATAAGATGAAAAGAAAATACGAATGATGCTATTATTTTTGGCGCACTCCTTAAATGAAATAAGACATTCTTCATGTGACTAGCAATAGTAGTTACATTGTATTTCACATTTTAATTCTATATGGATTGCATGATAACAACTTTGTTAACTTACACGATATTTTATTTTTGATCCGGAATTATTTGATTCTCTTAATTCAGCAAAATTTGAACTATAAACTGTTAAATTTTTTAACCAGCCATATAATTGTGTATTAGTACCAATAGTAATCATACGTAATTGTAAAGCTAACTAAAATGTTTCGTTTCTTTTTTTTATAAAATGGTTATATAAGAAGTGCAATGAAACTTACATCAAGTACAAGACAATTTGAATTTGAATTATGTTGATCTTCAAGTAAAATTATTTCAGGATTTTTCACACTAACATCTATTCGAGTTTCAAGTTCTGTATCGGCATTAGAAGCAGTGGTGGTTTGAGTAGTTGTAGCTAAAACGAAGATTTTTTTATTTTTTAGTATGAAAAAGTTTGTGTAAAAAACATTCAATACGTTTTGATGGTGCTACAGATGTTTTTGAAGTGACAGGTGTTGGTTTCTTATCCATTTTTGTTCGATTTTGATCATTGTTTGATTGCTCCGTTGTTGTTATTGCTTGCTGTTCAACCTGTCGTGGTGTTTCAGCATTACCCGATGGTAGACCAGAAATAAAAAAGTCTTGTAATATCATTAAATAATCCAAACTTATAGATATATAAAGACTTTCCAGTTGTGCAGTTACTAGTAATAAAGATTTATTAAAAAATATTTTAATTAAAAGCTTTTATTTTACATTGTCGAAGTGCTGTTGGACGTGATTGATTTTTTGGGTTGAATTCAAATGATGCAACAAACATATGAGTATTAGGATCAACTGTAAAATGTCTATCCATCATACGTGTTACACTTGATGATTTATTTGTCGCACGTAAATCATCAAGTAAGAAATTTTTCACACGTGCTGTTGCTTTATAACTTCCATCTGAACGTTGACGAAATAATGCTTCAAAAGTATCAATTTGAACATTGGCTAATTTTAAATTATCATTACGTGGTCCACGACGAACACTCTAATAAAACATATAATACGACAATGAAAATTATTTTGAAATGAGAATATTCTATTCAATTCTAGAGTAAGAAATTGTCTCTGAAATATAAACAGTAATGTGAAATATCGACAACACAAGTTGAATCATCTATTATGTCATGTACCTGCATCGTTCTAATTTGCACAGTGCTTCAGTCTTCTATGTTGATGAATGAGAAAATCTAGGCATAATATTAGCTAATATACCTCTATTATAAGTATCTATGCATGTATTATCAAATACAATTACTCTCAAAATTATTCGATCAAAATGTATTTTGAATTTTTTTTGCATTGATGTAAACTCTAACCGGAACCCAATATTAATTTGTGTGAAGAACTTTATTTATAACAAGAACTTTTGAGGATGATAATGACGGCTAGTTTTTCATGGATAGCATCTCTGGAAAATTAAAACTCAAGTATTTAGCGCTTAGAACTTGCAAATATAATTCTGTTTGAATTTGTACAGAATAATACAGTAAACAATTTTCTACACTATGAACCGTCTTCCAGCATCCTGGGGATGGCACAAATGAATATAAAAATAAATCAATTCTCATTTAATTTGTATGAATAGTAACAGTAGGGTCTACCATAGTTTGGCACGATATACTAGCATCTACCAGGGTACGGGTGTGAGAGTACACCCACACCCTTGTTATCAGTGTTAGACACTTGCAGATCCAAGAAGATTTTTTAAATAAGTCTCTTCTATAGCATATAGAAAATGTGAATTCTTTTGTAATTCATTTGCGTCATGAGTTCTATATGCCAAGAGATAACTTAAAACAACCAATGTCACTGGTAAATCTTTAAAAAAAAAGTATTTTTTTTTCCTCTAAATAAAACTTACCATGTCTGATTCTCCAAGATAAAGTGTCAATGCTAATTTTTTTATTTCGGCTCGAAGTTTAAGTGTCGGTAATACTTCAGTACCACAAGATTCTAAAAACAAATCATAATTCAATCATTTATTTTTCATGAATAAGAAATATTCATTTAAGAAACCTTTTTGTTTCTTAATAACAGCAGCTCTTAATTTTTCTTCTTCTTTTTCTTGTGCTTCTTGCCTATAACGATATTGTTCATTTTGAAAACCTTCAGGTATTTGATCACGAATATTTTCTGAAAAATTTTCCATTAGAACTCTCATAACACATGAATAATCATCTTTTGCTAATTGAAACTATTCAAATAAAAAAATAAAACATTAACAAAAAAAAGAAGAAAAGAAAAGTTATATCTCGGAACATACATGAACTAATTTCCAATCAACTTTAATTGAAACTCCTGGTTCAGTTTTAACTTTGTCTGGATAAAGTAAGCGATTAATTAATGTGTTTAATTCCGCACATTCAAGTAAAATAGCTTCACCAAGTATATTACAATCTCGATCAAGTTTAACACGACTAGCAAGCATATTTTCGAAACGGATATTTTGTTGTTCAACAAGAGATTTTCTTGGATCATCATAAAAATTTGTTTTTAATATTAATTTACCTAAATCAAGAAAAAGTGCTTGGTCAGAATATGAATTTGTTGGAATAATAATATTTGGTGCGTTAAATGTTATATCAAGATGAACTTTAAATGCTTGTTCTTGTAATTTTTGTACTTGTTCATAAGCAGCATCAGCTTGTGTTGAGGCTATATTAAGTGCTGCTTTTGTTATATTTAATGAATCAAGAAAACCCTTTGATAAAAAAATAAAAACAAATATACAAAAATTTTTTTCTTAATAATTTTTTTACCAAAATTGCATCGATATGTTTAAAAAGAAAAACAATATTTGCTTTAGCAAATTGAACTTTAACATCACAATCAAAAACATCAATAGCTTTTTGATATCCTTCAGGATAATTAAATAGAGATAAATCAACACGAAGTAATTCTTTATCATCGCCTTGTTGAGAAATAATCTTAATAAATATTAAAAAAGTAAATATTTGGTTTTTTTTTTGTTTTCTCATACTTTTCGATATCGTGCATCTTTATATGGATCCAAAATACATAAATCGGATAGAATTAAATTGACTAATGTCTTTTCTGGTGCTTGTGATACATAAGCTTTGACACCTAAATTAAATCGAAATCGAAATTCAAATTGTAAAAGAAAGAAAAAAAATCTTTTCTAACCTTGAACTTGTATATCAAATAGTTTTGCTTGTTTTGATGCAAGTATTATTCGAAACTCTTCTAAATCAGCATCAATTTTAAGTGAAGGTGCTGCTGGAACATCTAAAAAAATAATAATAAAGTTGACATTCGGCGAAGTTCAACAACTCGAATAATTAATTGATGGTTAATAAAACTTAAGATTCTTTAAATCGATTGTACGATTAAATAATCACTTATAGGTGGGCACGGCCAGGCGTTACGGACTTTTATATTTTTTTACATTGTAACGTTTATTTCTCATTAATAATAAAAGCTAATTGTGTGAAATTTTTATTATAGATAGAAACCATTTAGATCAACTATCGTTAAAAATTTCATTGGTTTTCCTTTAGTTCAAGTTAAGCTATTCAAAAAGTACCATACCTGATGAAACTTTTGTAGTAGAGCTAAGAGTTTAACACTTTACTACGAAACGAAGCGATATACAAATCAACTTTCAGTATAAAAGTTGTTCAATTTTTAATTTCAATTGGAAAATTTGGTATCACGAGCCATGGAATAATCTTGAACCAGTCACTAATGACTGTTTTTATCAAATCGTCCGTCCTAAAGCATCCTGACTGCCTTATGCCATATACCTATTCTTATGATTAGTTAGCGTAAGAACTCTACTCTAGATTAGTAGATGGCTGCGGATCCATTCAGACCTGGGTCTAGTACACAAAAGCGTGGACCCGAAGCTTTCTATAAGTAAGTATCGACCAGTATTAGAAATTTTTGTGGAAGATTTCGATATTATTAATTATTTTGAATGGTCGACAGTCAAATACTGCAAATTCAACATAAGCAACTTTAATTTCCTGCTTAACTCGATTTGAAATAGCTGGTTCATTTTTTGAAGATGCAGAAAACTGATTGATACTTGTTTAACCATTGAAAACTGCCGTTTCTTTTCTATTTTGACGACTACGTATATGCTTAGATGGTGAATTAGTATCAGATGATGATTTATAAATAAGTAAGTCTTCATATTGATCCCATAGCACATATGCTTACATCATCTCGTTGCCATAAATGCTACTAAGACTATTTCATATAGGTGAAGATTTTCGTGTTACTGTTGGTTTGACGATTTTCAATGATGAGTTTTTTTTATTAATTAACTGCTCGATTTCCTCTTTTATTAAGACAATGCTCTTTTCAACTAAGCAAAAACGTTTAATTTATTAAGAATTGCATGATGGAAAAGTGAAAAACAGGAAATAACTGTACGTTGACTTCTTTTCTGAGAGTGGCCAATAAATAGTTATACTCGTGATCCTTCACTTGCTTATGTTCACAAAGGGTGCCAAATATTAGTGAAAAAAACTCGCGTTCAGGTCTACATGAATGTGGATCCGTAACTTCTTACAGACTAGCCTTCTAATCAGAGCTATAGCTAGTGTTATTTATCGGAAAGATATCGGTCTACGGAATCTGCCATTAGGCAACACTTCATAACGCACGGTAGCTGCAAGGTAGGAACATTTATCCGTCTTCTTAATGAAACCTTCAAGATGTTTGAGGCTATTCTACTGAGATATATTCTAAAATTTCCAGCTTCATTTTGTTGAAATATCAAAAATATAAAATGAAAAANCACCTTGATCATCGCTGTAAAAAGATACCCCACTGCTTTGACCTTTTTTGCGTCGCCTCTGATCGAAATCGAAAAACCAGGATTACGCCCCCCCTGCTCTGGTACCTTACTTACGCCCCTGACAGTAAATCCTATTTTCTCGGATTTAGATCCGCATGATACTGTTAATTCTCTTGGTAATATTGGATCTGTCCAGGTATAATAAACATAATTTGATGGTGGCAAAATTTGTGTTCGTCTATATCAAAAAGAAAGAGAATAAAAAAAATTTAATTTTCTTCAAAAAAACAAAGAATCCATTTAAACTTACACATCATTAACTTGACAAAACGAAACAGGTTCGTTTTCTAAAGAATTTACAATGAGTAAAGGCGCATCACCAATTTTATAATCTTCAAAAATAACTTTGACACTATCAAAATCTGTTGCTGCCACTTCAACATAAATTGCTGGACATTCTTCATCCTCCATGCGTAAAAGTGTTCGATGTTTTTGATTCATATTAAATGGACTTGATGTTATCTGGTTATGTGTGTAACGAACACGCATTACACTCTCTTTTATATTACGTGGCCAAAATGGAATTAACTAAAATTAATTTTTTATTATTGAATCAAACTTTAAAAAATAGTTTTATTTACTTGTTCAGGATTAATTGTTTCCCATTTGCCTTGTTCTTCATTAGATACAGTTTCCACTACTTCAATTCCAACCTTTCAAAAACAAAAAAAAAGAATAGCATATCAATACTATATATATATATAATCTTGTTCAACATACAGTTGATTTATTAATAACAACCATTGCTGGTGAAAGTGTAACAAGTTTTGTTAAACCAAATGAACTTGTTGCAATATCCACACAAATCTATTTAAAAAAATCTTTATTCATGAAAGTTTTTCTTAGTTTATAAATTTATTTTACCATATATATTTGATCATTTGGTACTCTACAACTTGTCAAACCTGTACTTTTAATAACACCAAGAGAAAATTTTTCTGACCATTTTGCTGCAGCATCACCTTGATCAACACCATATACACAAATTTGTCCCTGTTAGTAAAATTGAAAAATTTGATTATATGTTTTTTTTATTTTTTTTATATTATTTTTTTACTTTTTTGTTTGCTTCACTGCCAATTTTTTCTGGACATACTAAATGTGGTCTTTCAATAACATCAATAAATGTTCGATTATTTTCAATCTATTTATCAAAGAAAAAACAATTTGTCTAATATAAAATTATTAATCTTTTTACTTGAAATTCAAGTTTAAGATCTGTACGATTAAGAATCCACAATGATGAATAAAATAATAAACGATAAGATTCATGAAAAGTATCAACACGTAAAACCATTCTCTTTTAAAATTAAGATAAAGAAAAAAAGAAATATTTAAAATCATTTTATTTTTGTGTTAATAAGATTTTTACTAGTATTTGTTGAGGATTAGAAGCAGCTTTATTACGAAAGATAACAATATGTTCATTAAAATCACCTTTTCCTTCTACTTTTAAATCCACCGGTTCAGATATCCATTTTATATTATCATATGATGGAATCTAAACATAAACAAACTTATCTTCAATGTAAAAATACAAAAAAAAAGAAATAACTTACAGTAAAAAGTAATGAAGAACTTCTACTACCAGATGTAACTAAATATAATTGACTTGGTTTTAAAGCAAATTGTTCGACATTCTAAATCGAAGGAAAAGGTTATTCATTGTTATATGTAATTCTTTTAAGACAAGAAGGCAGTCATATTCTATCAATTAAACTAAGTGTTCCAAGTAGAAGTATTCAAAACTAACTTTTTCACTAGTCGTCATCATAGTTCAGCTAAAACTCATATAGATCCGGTAAATCTCATCGAGCCTTGTCTCTAATGATAGTTCCGGTGTATCTGATATAGTACAAATTTCAGTTATAATCCTAGTATATCCTATATATTGCCCGCTCCGAAAATAATTCCAGAGAATTTGGCCTAATCCCAATTTAAGGTACTTTTTTTCTCTCATGATCTAAGCCTACACCTCAATAACTGCTCTGCTTCACGTTTTCGACTTTAATGTCATAAACTTCTATTTCATATTATCCTACTCCTGGTGAATTCATTTGTTGTAATAACATTTCTATAACTAACATTGTCGCTGGACATCTCTTATGACGAGTAATAGAAAATGGCTAGCATAGAACATGAAAATTCTAATGACTAAAATAATCAACTTCAATGTCTACCTTTATCACTTCTATATGAAAATGTTCTCTCGGAGTACAAGATATGAATGTTATTAAAAGAATAAGCACGAGTTCTATATTAAAATATAAGATATGAATAATGAAATATTGTCAAGTGACCTAAAATATGAAATGTATAATTTTTCTTCATTTTAAATTTTAATTATCCAATTAATTAAATAATATCTTTGACTTACATCAATTGAACATTCAATATCAATCGGTAAAAGATTAGTTAAATGAAGTGCTGGATGAATATAAAGATTAAAACTTGTTCGATTAATTTGATCAGTATTTTCTGAATAAGCATCAGTTAATTCTTTAAAAACCTTCAAATATATAAAAATTACAAATTGAAAATTTGTTGAAAGAATTTTTACAGTAAAATTAGCTTGATTTCCACTTTTTAATTTTATTATTCTTTCTGTTGAAAATTCTTTATCCCAATCAAATGAAAAAAAATCATTTACTTCTTCACCTCTATAAAAAAAATCAATGTCTTATTTATTTTAATATTTTGTAATTTCAAAAAGATTTTACTCATCAACTGCAATAAATATCGGTGAACTTGTATATGCATAAAGTAAATCCATTGGTACATAATAATCTTGATTGATTTCTAGTCTTGCTACTCGACTATGTTTTTTTATGTCAGTTGAGTCAACATTTAAAACAAGTAATGGTAATGTTGTATTATTATAAATTCGAACGATTGAACTGAGAATAATACGTCGACGTTCATTTTTTATTTGAGTATCACAAAGCATTTGAATAGGCCAAGTTAAATTTAATGATGGACTCATTTCATAAATACGTTTCCGTGTTCGACTTATACTAACAGTTTTAACAACATCTCCAATCTACAAATCAGTTTATTATTCATAAACAAAATAAATACAATTTTTCATGTAAAAGTCTGGGCACAAAATATTTACTTAAATACAATTGATTAGAATCAGAAGAAGTTAGTTAGAATCAGATTTTTTAAGAATTTCCTTGCAATAAGATTGAATAACTATTATTAGTTTGTTTCAAGATATCGAAATGAATAATTTTTCAGAATACTATTTTTATCATTTTTGTATTATCGATTGAAACTTAGTGAATTTATCATGCAAAACAGCTTTGACTAACTCAATAGGTAGCCTGTTCAGGTATCATATCGCTTTTCGAACACAACAAAATGTATCGGATAAGTATTAGTAAATAATTGAAGAGTCTAGAATAGTTTGGTTTTCTGAGCTTTTGTTCTTAACATATCAAAATTTCAATCAATTTCTCCATAGTAAGCTATGATTTCTTCCTGTTCACATAAAAATCGATGGTCCCCTATTTCAAGCATTACAAAAACTAAGTTCTTACTAACGAGGGAACCGTTCGAAGTGATTCAAAGCTTTTAAGCCGATATTTTGCCCATAAGTAGAGTCCAATGAGATTAGAAAAAGGCCAAAAAGGACAAGGGCCCATGGGCCTTTCTTCTCGAGTTATGGTCATTTTACTGGGTTTATCACCTATGATACGATATTTACCGAAAAATCAAATTAAGGAGTTTCGACCTGAAATTTTGCCCACATATAGGTCTTGTGGCCCGTATATTAGCCTGAAAGTTTAAGCCANTAAATCCACTCATATCCCTCAGCTTTCAAATACACAGCTGTATCGATATGCATTGAGATGCTATTACGCGAAGGGTAATACCCTAAATCCACTCATATTTCTCAAGTTATATGATGGATATTTTTTTGGTACGGTAATGAAGTGATTACTTCTCGGTAGAATATGTGATGGTAATGTCAATATACTTTCGTTGTTCATTCTTGTGGGTATCGTGACGGCTGGCTGTCGATACCCGTCGTATTGGTATTATGACATCTATCCAATTAAGTGAAAACGATTAATGTTTTAACTATCGAATAATACGAGAGTGAAAAATAGGAAATGGCTGTGCAATGACTCTTTTTCTTTCTAGGAGTAGCCAATAAACAGCTAAAATCTTAATTCTCGACTTGTTTATATACATAGGAAGTGCTAGATATCGGCGAAAGAGCTTTAGTCTTGATCTGATCGGGTTCAGTCTCACAAAAATGGAGGTCCGTAGCTTCCTATAGACTAGCCTTTTGTTCAAAGATACAGCTAGTATTATTGGTAGAAAAGATATTGATCTACTGAATCTATCATTATGCAATATTCTGTACCGCAAGATATCTGAAAAAACACGAGTATTCTTTCTTCTTTAACTTGTTTTTAAAATAAACTTTCAAGATGTATACGGCAACTCATCCTAAATATAATCTGACATATTCAGCTTCGTTCTGTTGAAGTAATACAAATATAAAATGAAAAGCAAATGTGATTCTATCACGATGCTGTAGATTGCTTACCTTTTTTCTGTACAGCTTTTCCAGTTTTATCAATATTTTTATTATCTTCAGCATTTTTTTGTTCTTGTTGTTTTTTCATTTCTTCTTCTTGTTTCTTTTTTGCTTGGTTTTCTGGTGTATCTTGTGGTAATTGTTTCATTAATGTGTCTTGAAATCTTAATATTGATAAAAGTACTTCTAATTGTAATGTCACAACAAGTTTACTAAAATGAACATGAGCTCTATTTTCAATTCCATCATAATTTGATGTTAAAAATAATGGATTTTCTGGTGATGTATGAAGAAAATTGACACAAACTAATTTTTTATTTTGATTATTAGAAGTGTCTTGTTCTAATTGAGCTGATAATAAACGTAATTGTTGATTATCTTTACCAATAAATTGTTCATGATAGAGAATTAAATTAGCTAATGATGCATCAAATTCCATATCGAATGTTTTTATTTTTGTTTGAGCAACAATGGATTCAAGTGTTATACGAAGAAATGGTGCATCTTTATTATTTTCATTCATACTTTCATCAATATGTACATTAATCTTTCATAAAACAACAGAATAAAGATTATTAAAATAGTTAATTAAAAATAAAAACTTCTTTACTTTATCAAGTGTAAATTTTGCTTCTAATTGTGTTAATTGACCTTCAAATTCATTTTTTTTCTCAATTTTATCAGTATTTTGTATTTGTTTATCTTTATTTTCTTCTGCTTCGACTTTTTCTTTAGTTTTTCTAATTGGTGTCATTCCTTCGACTACTTCTAATGTTTGTTCAGGATTACTCAATGATGATGGTATAAGTATCGGCTAAAATCAAAGATTTCGTTTGTTTTCGAAATTGAAGGAAGTGAATAAAACAAACCTCTGGTTCAATTGATTGTGCAGCAACGACTGGATGTTTCGATTTCGGAAATGGAATTGATTGCATATGATTCATTATTTGAAATAAACGTTTATCGGATAAACGTAAATCTATGTTAGGAAGATTTCCAGCAACTTTCCAACTAAAATAAAATAAAATAAAAATTCATTTAAATATTTTTCTAAAGAAAAACTTACGCAGGTAAAACAGCATCATCAATATAAATACATTTACCAACATCTAAATCAAGTTCCATTAGTTTAATTAAATGTATATTTGTATTTTTTTCTTGACGAGCTTTTTCCCAACTTTCATCTAAATTTTATTTTTGAAAATGATTAGTTTTTATTTGTAATAGTTTTTGTTTCTATTTTACTTTGGTTTGCATAAATTAATTGAATATCTTCAAGTTTTAATTTAAATTGAGTATAAGATCTTTCACGTGCTTCTTCAATGTCCTATTGTAAATCAAATTATAAACATAAGCGAAAAGTTGAGTTACATGAAATTCGACCCAATGTGATAGTGGTGTAACCAGATGGAGACTAGAGGGGCTCAGCCCTTCGAGAAGGCGTTGAGCTCCCTGGAAAGACGTGAGTAGAAGAGTCTTCGACTTCTCTACGAACTGAATCAGGTGAGCTGAGCCCCCTCTATCACGTTTTTCTGGCTACGCTCTTACAATGTAACATTCTAGTGACTCTTTAGCCTAAGCCAGAAATTTTGTATGACTATCAACTTAGACTTGAATTTCTGTCAATAACTTTTCGGAAAACAAAAAATCCTATAAAAATATGGTGCATTCTATAGTGTTTAGCCACATGCATTTTCAATAAAATGTAGTGCCAAGCAGCCTACTTTAACTCTATTAGAAAAGGTTTAGTCTTTTGAAGCAATTTTTGCTTATATACAGTAGTTGCCAATATAAAAAGAGGAATAGTCAATAGATCTATGAAGTGAAACTAATTAGTCTGATCTACTTTTAACTCATTAATGTTTTCTCATAAATATTGCCAACTTACTGAACGGATCTCCAGAACTATAGTTTAATCTTAATGTATGCTACTGATAACTACTTTTTAATGAAAATGGACACTCCGAAGCACTATGAAGTGTAGTAAGGATTGATATAAATAAGGCTTTATGAGAGTTAATAAGAAGAGCTTAGGAATAGTCCAAAATTTCAATCTTCCAAAAAAATTCTACTTCCCAGGTTGAAAAAGCACGAGCGTAAACGGTCGTATACAAACAAAATACGACGAATTACGATGGTCGTATACGATGTTTGTATACGTCAATCGTATACGATGCAATACGGTGCTATCCGGTAGTCGTAAACGCCCATTCCATACGACCATCGTAAACGACGTTCGTATACGATCGTATATTTGCCGTGTTCAACGCTAAGTAACTTTCTTTGTATAAAAGAATTTTTTGAATAATTATGAGTTACGATCGTACAATGAACAGTAAATATTATTTTAACCTAAACAATCTTTTTTTTAAATTATATTAACAGCAAAACGAACAGTAACTATTAATTTATTTAANCAGATGATGATTTATAAATAAGTAAGTCTTCATATTGATCCCATAGCACCGATGCTTACATCATCTCGTTGCCATAAATGCTACTAAGACTATTTCATCTAGGTGAAGATTTTCGTGTTACTGTTGGTTTGACGATTTTCAATGATGAGTGTTTTTTATTAATTAACTGCTCGATTCCCTCTTTTATTAAGACAATGCTCTTTTCAACTAAGCAAAAACGTTTAATTTATTAAGAATTGCATGATGGAAAAGTGAAAAACAGGAAATAATTGTACGTTGACTTCTTTTCTGAGAGTGGCCAATAAATAGTTATACCTGTGATCCTTCACTTGCTTATGTCCACAAAGGGTGCCAAATATTAGTGAAAAAAACTCGCGTTCAGGTCTACATGAATGTGGATCCGTAACTTCTTACAGACTAGCCTTCTAATCAGAGCTATAGCTAGTATTATTTATCGGAAAGATATCGGTCTACGGAATCTGCCATTAGGCAACACTTCATACTGCAAGGTAGCTGAAAGGTAGGAATATTCATCCTTCTTCTTAATGAAACTTTCAAGATGTTTGAGGCTATTCTACTGAGATATATTCTAAAATTTCCAGCTTCATTTTGTTGAAATATCAAAAATATAAAATGAAAAACATGTGATTCCGTTACAACTGGACAGATTGCTTACCTTTTTTCTGGACAACTTTTCCAGTTGTTTTATCAATATTTTTATTATCTTCAGTATTTTTTTGTTCTTGTTGTTTTTTCATTTCTTCCTCTTGTTTCTTTTTCTCTTGATTTTCTGGTGTATCTTGTGGTAATTGTTTCATTAATGAATCTTGAAATCTTAATATTGATAAAAGTGCTTCTAATTGTAATGTAACAACAAGTTTACTAAAATGAACATGAGCTCTATTTTCAATTCCATTGTAATCTGACGTTAAAAATAATGGATTTTCTGGTGATGTATGAAGAAAATTGACACTAACTAATTTTTGATTTTCATCATTGTTAGGGTTTTGTTCTAATTGAGCTGATAATAAACGTAATTGTTGATTATCTTTACCAATAAATTGTTCATGATAGACAATTAAATTAGCTAATGATGCATCAAATTCCATATCAAATGTTTTTATTTTTGTTTGAGCAACAATTGATTCAAGTGTTAAACGAAGAAATGGTGCTTCTTCATTATTTTCCTTCATGCTTTCATCAATATGTACAGCAATCTTTCAAAAAGAATAAAGATTATTTAAATAGCTAATAAAAAATTGTTTACTTTATCAAGTGTAAATATTGCTTCTAATTGTGTTAATTGACCTTCAAACTCTTTTTTTTTCTCATTTGTATCTATACCTTGTATTTGGTTATCTTTATTTTCTTCTGCTTCAGCTTTTTCTTTAGTTTTTAGCACTGGTGTCATTCCTTCAATTGTTTGTAATGTTTGTTCAGGATTACTCAAAGACGATGGTACCAGTGTCGGCTAAAATCAAACATTTTTTTTTAGAAACTCAAAAATAGAACTAAACAAACTTCTGGTTCAATCGATTGTGCAACAATGACTGGATGTTTTGATTCAGGAAATGGAATTGATTGCATATGAGTCATTATTTGAAATAAACGTTTATCGGATAAACGTAAATCTACACTAGGAAGTTTTCCAGCAACTTTCCAACTAAAATAAAGTCAAAATTTAATTAAAGAATTTTATTTAAGAAAAACTTACGCTGGTAAAACAGCATCATCACTATAAATACATTTACCAACATCTAAATCAAGTTCCATGGGTTTAATTAAATGTATATTTGTATTTTTTTCTTGACGAGCTTTTTCCCAACTTTCATCTAAATTTTATTTTAAAAATAATTATTTATTATTTTTAATCGATTTTGTTTCTGTTTTACTTTGATTAGCATAAATTAATTGAATATTTTCAAGTTTTAATTTAAATTGAGTATAAGATCTTTCGCGAGCTTCTTCAATATCCTGTCATAAATAAAATTACAAGCATAAAAGAAAATTTGGGATACATGAAATTCGACCCGATATGAAACACCGATGTCTCTTCAGTCCAGGCCGAAAGTCTTGTATGACTTTTGGTCCAGGCTCGAATTCCTCTTGGTAGCTTCTCTGAAAACCAAAATCCTATGAAAGATTGGTACACTCCAAAGTGCTTAGGGGCATGCGTTTTTAATAAAATATAGTGGCTAGCAGAACGACACAAGAGCCTACTTTGATCCTATTAGAAGTGGTTTAGTATTTTGAGATAATTATTATTTGTATGCAACAACTAAACATGTGAAAAGCTGAGTAAATTCATGCTACTCTGATTAACTTATAACTAATTAATGTTTCTTCATAAATATGACCAATTTCTCGACATCATTCTACCTGAACGGACTCCTACAACTATTGTTTGATCTAAAATGTGTGCTGCTGATACGTACGTTTTGATAGAGATGCATACCGCTAAGCACTATGAAGTGTAGCAAATATTCATATAAATAAGGTTGTTTACATGAGAGTTAACGAGAGGCGCTTGACTCCAGTTCAAAATTCTGATCTCTAGAAAAATCTTCTGTTTCTTACTTTTGCTTCTTTAAGTGAAGTGGCTTGTTCTCCATTCTGACTTGGTTTTGTACTACGTTTTAATGTTAAATGACCGAAATCCATACAAATCGCAGCAGCACCACTAGAAGAAAAAACAAATTGATAAATTAAAAAAAACTATAAAAAAAAAGATATTTTCTTACTCTCGATAAACTCCATTTTCTGGTAAAAGAAAATACGATGATTGAAGATCAATATCAATATCTAAAACTTTGATTTTTTCAACATTATGTTTCATTAATATATAAGAACGATGTTTAACATCTGTGTATGTTGAATAAGCAGCTTGTTTAACACTAAAATAAATTTATTTCAAATAGAATCTATTTTTCAATTATAACTCACCCTTGAAGATTACGTTGAGTATCTTGTTCAAAACATTCAGCTAATTTATTAATTGTTTGCTAAAAACAAAAGAATTTTTTAGATTATAGAGTTAAAATTAAATATTTACTGCATTGTATTTAATTTCAAGGGATTGTGAAACAACTTTAACACGATAATCAGATGATTTATCTAATGGATTTGTTTCGAATTCCACTTGTAATAATTTTTGTTGATTAGATGTTGATAATGATCGAGAAACAGGTTGAGCAAGTACAGGACGATTATCATTGGAAAAATCAGATTGTTTTAAATCTGTAGCTATACCAAAAACTTGAAATGAACCCAAATCAACAAAGACCCTAAATAAAACAGATTTATATTTTTAATAAATCTATTCTAATAACATACGCAATAGCTGATGTTGCTGGTCTTCGTTTAAATACTAAATTAGTATCAGGTATAGCTGCTCGAGCAATAACTCGAAATCTAGAAAAGCAAAACCATAATAATAAAATATTTCGAATAAAACATTCACTTACTGAGCATCATTTTCATTAATTTTCGACCAAACATTAACATCAAGCAAATTTAGTTGAATAGCTAAATCAATATCGATAAACTAAAAAGAAATAAGCAAAGTCAAAAATGTTGTTGCTTGATATAAATAATAGAAATTCACTTCTTCTGGATAAGTTGATGTCGAAGTATCTTCTCCTTCGTAACCAATAGCATCATATAATTTCTTCTTTTCTTCTGGTGACATGACTTTTTCAAAATCAAGTTCTAAAAAAAGAACAGAAGAGTTCATTTAGAAATGAATTAATAAAAAATATTAAGATCAAACCTGGATTATCTGGCGGTTTATTTCCACCCCACCAATTCGATACACTTCCCCACCAAGTTTTTGGTTCTTGATCTTTCTTTTTCTTTGCTTCAATTTCAGCACTGCGACGAATATACGTTAAATTAAACACATCAAGGTTTTTTTCTAATTCCTATTATTCAATAAAGAAATTTTTATTTTGAATTATTTCTATACGTTGTCTGTTTTTGTTTTACTTGTGCTCGTTGTTTTTGTTCAACGGTTGCTTTTCCAAGTAATTCTTGAAAATGAAGTGAACGATATTCTCTACAACGATCTAAATGTAGTTTAATATTTTCCCATTTATAACATTCAAATCTTGGTCGAATTTCTTCATTAACAATTGCTTCGTATGCAAATTTCCATCTGAAAATTACAAAGACAATTTTTCTTCTTGTTCAATGAAATTTGGAAAAACAAATTACCTTTTAGTACTTGGTTTTTCTTGTATACCAATGTTAATATGATATTTGATATATTTTGTTTGAATACTAAGATAATCTCGAAATTCAAGTAAATCGAGTAAATCTGAATACTAAAAAAAAAGCAAAAGATCAAAATTAAAAATTTTTTGTTTTTTTCCTATTTGAATTTACTTGATCACGATTGATATTTAAACTAAATTCATCTAAATCAACTTTAATATCAAACATTGGTCGTTTAAATTCTTCTTGTCGTGGTTTCATTGCCAATACGATCCTTGCTTTGATATTTAGTGGTCGAAGTACTAAATATTCATTATTTTAAATAATATCAAAAAATAAAATAAATGAATAATTTACTATATGATATATCAGTTGGTGTTTGTTGATTATTAACTGCTATTCTTTGTCTTAGATTTTTCTATAGTCGAAGAAAAAATAAAATTTAAAAAAAAAGCCAAAGAAGAACAAAAATTCGACATACAAGAGCTTCATCTCTTGATAATCCAGATCGTGATTGAGCGTCGGTATTCCAATAAATTGATAAAGCACTTAAATCACCAAGCTAGAAAAAAAATTTTTTTTAAAACAATATAACTCGTATTTTAATAGTAAACATATTGAGTTGTACAGCAGAGGTAGGATCTGTTCAGTTCGCAGTATTCCAAATCAACTTCAGTTTATATTTTGAGAAGCTTGAACCAATCCCATCTCTGTTGTACATTATTTTTTAAAATCTATTGAACTCTCTTGAAACTCTATTTTTGATTTTTTAATAAATATTTAATTGTACATTAATCCAAAGACTAGTGAATCAATATTGTTTCATATTGAATATTATTCGAAAAAATATTAAAATAAAAATACAATTAAAAAAAATCTCTTTTACTTTATGAATTAATGGCGTATCTTCTTTAAGTATAGTTGGTTTCCAATCTGGAGTTGTTGTCTAAACGAAAAGCAAAAATGTTCAATTAAATTTAAATTATTCAACAATTCTACATGTAATGTAATATAATTAAGTGTAAATCCAAAAGCAAATGGATGATTAGGTTTTGTTGATTTATCTTCATACACAACATGAATATTTCGAATAGATAATTCTAAATTTCGTATAACTTGTAATTGCATACGTTCAGCAAATGTATCATTATTTTTATCAGATGATTTGGCATTTTCTTTATTTAGAAAGACATTCAAAAGTAATGAAAAAACTTTTTTGTTTTTTGTTTTTACTTTGAGCTTCTTGTTCTTTACGAAGTTCTTCTATATGATAAACTTCTTTCATTTTTGCTTCATGTTGTTCTTTTTCATCACGTTTAGCATCATATTCGACTTCTATTATTTGAACAAAATACAGAAAAAGAAAAAAACAATTTAACATTAAATACAATGAAAATAGCAAACCAGTTTTTGGTACAACTAATAAAAAAAGTCCATCAATTGTTGCTTTTGTTGACTGTGTATATATATTTTTCCATGGAACTTGAAGCGTTAGTTTTTCTATAAATAATTAAAACAACAAAACAAAAGAAAAATTTTGAAATAAAAAATAAATTCAATCTAACGTACCAAGATAACCCAATGATATAGTAACAGGAAGATTTAAATCAGCCTATAATTATAAAAGAAATTAATTTTCTTGTTTATATAACTAAATATAAACATACTAATGCATTTGGTTTTAGATAGAGATTTTCCAAAACCACATTGCCTAATAATAATTAACTACTTAAAAGCAAGCAACATTTCTTAATAAAACTTACCACTCCATAAATCAACTTTAAGCTTTTTTGTATCTAAATTTTCGATATAATCGCTCAAATATTTATCAAGTAAATAAGCGACTAAATTTTCAAAAACCATTTTGCTATTGTTTTAACATACGGTTTGATAATTGTGAAAGGTAATAGATATGAAGTATCAAAATTTTATCTTAAATAAATGAGATACTGCTTATTTATCGGATGAAATGAAGGTTTTGTTTTTTTTTCTTGCCACCATTACTCAAACTTATACCGCGTAAGATAACCAACTGATGACTCATTATAGGGTATTTCTTTTTTTTCTGCGATGAATATTTTGACCAATAGAAATAAATTACTGTTCTAGAAGATTTCTTGAAATAGTCAATGTTTGGAATGACCTGTTTTGAGAGTATATAAAAGTTTGAATTTGAAATTGATAAGTTTCGTTAATTTCTACAATGCATTTATGCACTATTGTGTTACTAACTTTGTCCTACAACAGAACGGAAAAAACTTGATTATTATCGATTCCAGACTGCTATGTCTGAAATTTATTTTGCCCTAGATACGACTTTCATAAAATTTATAGATATTTCACATGAAAAATGTCAAAGATTTACTTTATTTTTCAGAATCAAGAAACGATCTGTAATATAGAAGATAGTTTTGTTAATTCGAGTATACTAGAATGGTGTTCGATGTAATAATGGAACACATTTCTAAAACTTCCAAGAGACTCACTCCAACTGTTTCACTAATTTTGACCTTCTATTTTGCATCTGCAGGCAGAATCTGTAAAACTAGAGTAATACCAAAAAGATTCGAACTCATCGATTTTTCTTACAAAATTCCGATAGTTTTGCTGGATTTTTATACTATTAAGACGAAACATTGAACAAAGCATTTTTTCACTAGAAATTTTCTCTAGAAATTTGCGTCATCATTTGAAGAGTCTTATGCAAGTGTCATTCAGATAATTACTTCTTTGTTAAAATTCAGAAAAGTTATCATAAATCTTCACAGAAAATATATGAGCTCGAATTCTTTCAGAATTATTCTATTCTACAGGTTCCCTATATATGAAAGAAAAAATTGAGATCAAAATTGACCAATCATCATGGGCCGTTCCCTCATGAGCATTATATTGTTCGAGAACCCGAACAAATATTCAGGAATTTTATTTTTCTTTAATATTATATTGTATATTTAAAAAGTGAAGCTCTGTTAAATTGTTTTTTTTTAATCTGAAACCATCAAAGGCTTTCTTTCGTTTGATAGCGAAGAAATATTCTAAATATGTGTATCTCTTAGTGTGTCTGTATTTTTACTTAGATAATATAATACAAAAAAAAGCCGTCATTTAAATTCCTTAGTGGTTTCGTAAATTGAATAGAACACATATAAAGATTCATGCGATAAAAAAACGAACATGAGAAAAATAATGCAACATTTAGGTTTTTTAAAAACTATTTTATAATAAATCAGTTGAAGTGTATTGGAAAACGTTTGTCATAACTTTTTTGTATGTTTCATAAATATTATTTTATCTTTAAATAATATAAGATGGGATTATGAGGCTTTTCTATCATGTGACACAATTTATTGGAAAAGGTTTGTCTGAATTTTTCAGCATATAAATTAATGTATTGTTTCAAACGATGATTTCTGCAATAGATTCTAAGGAGACAAGAGTTTTTGAAAATGCACTTAGATACTCTTATCACGGTTTCCATTTGAACATTGCCGTGCTTATCTAGAAAACAACAAAACAAACTATTTTCATCTTAAAAAATGTGTGAAGTCGCTTTAAAAAGAAAGTTTTGCATTTGTAAAACATCCAACAAGTTTTCTCACACTATGTTTGACATACACAGCACACAAAACAGTTGTTTTTATATGAAAAAAGGCGTGAAAACATTGTGGAAAAAAACATTTACAGATTTTTCAGATACAAAAGTTGCCTTTTTAACCGACTTTACGCATCTTTTTATGATGAAAGTAGCTGTTTTTAGTATTTTCTGAATCGACGTGAAGCCGCTCAAACGGAAACCGCGATTAGGGCATTTAAAAACTTGTTCAGAAATGCTTGTCTAAAAAAGTTTTAAATCTATGAAAATATTAATAAATAAATAATTTTAATATGAACTAATACATAATAAAAAGATATTTTTTTCATGAAACTTCCCTCTAAAACAAGCTGTATGTATTTATCGGGAAAAAAAATTGAAAATTAATTATAAAATAATCAAATCAATCTTTATTATTTAGTTAGTTGTTCGAGACGAATAGCGAAAACAAACAATGTACAATAAAAAACAGATGATCATGTCGTATCATTCATGAAAGCATTTCTGTATTAAAACCAACTGGTCTAACTTTCATTTCACATGTTTTTAATGAATATTTTGCGCCTAACCAATTATTCCAAAAAACACCTGTTGCAGTTGAATCATTTCCACGTAAATAAAGCCCATTTAAATTAGCTAATGTACATCCTGTATGCCACCAACCACTTTTATAATTTTCTGCACATTGACTTGAAGTTGATTGATCATTATCTTGATCACGTGTTGTAAAACGCATACCACGATTATATGATAATGAATCACCACCAGTTGATGTTGTCATATAACGACCTAAATTTAATGTATATTTTGTTTGTTCATCTGTTATAAAAAACCATTCATAATCAACAAAACGTGATTGATCATTAAAATCTTCCATATCAATATGAAGACGATATTCATTTTGATTTGTTAATGCATAAATTTTTTCATTTCCAAGCCAAAAATCTCTTGTAAGATCACCAAAACCACGCCTATATGATGACCATGTTACAAAAAAATTTGATTGTTGACTATAATCACCACGACGTTGAATAATCGTCCATCCACCACCATCTGTATCCATGTCACATAATACACGAAATGGTTTTGGACTTGGACGAGGCCTTTAAATAGAAAGTTGTTTTCTTTTAATAATAAATTTGTTTTCTTTTAATTTTCTTACCATATTTCATAAATTCCACTTGTTCGTTTTCCTGCTAAATAAACTTCACTACAATCAACATATGCATAATCACGTGCACCTGTTGATCGTGCACATAAACTATCAATTATATCATCATCAGGATTACCCATTGGCGATGTTGAACTTGTTGTAGGACCACCATTTATAATTGTACTTGGTGAAATAAATGTTGGAAGAGAAGACGATACAAGGAATTGGTCAGATGACGATGATGAGGTACTACCGAAAATAGTAGTCCTAGTAGTAGTGGTAGTAGTGGTAGTAGTAGTAGTAGTTTCTAAAAAACAAATTTAGATATTCGATACGAACAATGTTTTATATACCTGTACTAGTTGTAGTTGATGCTAGAGCTGTTTCACATTGATCTTCGCACAAAAATCCCGTTGCAGTACATGTACAAACTAGAAAAACAAAAACATTGTTTTATATTCAGAGATGGTCTGAGTCAGTCGAAATTGTCATATCTCAAGGTGTCGAATGCGGAGTTCGGATGCGTCCATGCACGTTTCGTATATCTCCGTATTACGTGATCCCGTATTACGCTCATATATTTCCTTGATGGTATATGAAGACAGTAAGCGAGTGTTTTTTTTTGTACGCAAATCACCGTATTTATTTATATACGACGCGGATATATACGATCATAATACGGAACGATGTGCATAGCTGCATTTCTTCGTATACCGTCGTAAACGACCGTGTTCGTTTCACTTAGGATGATCGTAATTTTTTTTTCTAATTAAACGCAAGAAAAACTTTTTGATTCCGTTGGAAAAAAGTGAAAATTTATCATGGTTTGGGGAAGGGGTATAACAATTTCTCCTTTTACCCTCTCAAATTAGGCTAATCCTATTTATATTGATTACTAATAATATGTTTTTTACCTTTGCAAGGATTTGTTCCTAAACGAAATTTACCATTAAGTGGAATTTCAACTAGAAAAAATTTCAAATAAATATTTTAAACAAAATAATATAAGAAGAAAAATTTACATCTTCCATCATCAGTCTTGCATGTAAATTCATCATTTACTTTTCCATTTGCAATCGAACCAGTATCTAGATATTAAAAAAACGGTATTATTTATTTCCAAGTATTTTTTTACATACATATTCCATTTGAATTCACTACTATGGGTGATGGTAGTGCAATCGCCAAGAATATATTAACATAAAACAAGAAAATTATTGAAAATCGATACATATTTGCGAGTCGAGAAGAATAAATGTATATTGTGTTTGTCAGAAGAAATGAATAATATACTAGATTACAAGAATATTCTATTTAACAGATCGTCGTAAAAGAGAAAAAATGACACAAAAAAGAGCTGCTGATTGGTGACGTGTACTTCATATGAAAGGTCGAGGTCAATATGTGTAAATGTACAAATAAATGAAGCCCAACGACAAAATACTAATTTCCATTAAGAACAAAGAATGCCTTGATAATCATTCTAGATAAACGAGCAAATGCCAATTATCTAACTGTCAGCTATGCATTACAAAACAAGAAAACACTTGGTATTACTATCCAGGGTAAAAAATCATAGTAATAGAAAATCTTTCTTTTTACGCATATACTAATAGCGTTAATATGAAAAAAAGATAAAGGATAGACCATAATAAATGACCGTGTTTTGTGTTTTATTTTTTCATCATCTAATACGTTTCATTACAAAACAAATTATACTACAAGATACAATATGAAAAGCTCTACAATCTGCAATGTAGAAGCTTGTTTAATAGATGCACCTTTAGTTTTCAAAATAGACGAAATTCTGTGTGGCCAAATGTCGATGTCGCGAAAAAGTTTTTTTTTGGGTACACGACAAATTCCTTTTCGCATTTCATCAATGAATGAATCATAGTTTTTAATTTTATTCTGTTAACCACGTTTCGCAATTGTTTAGTAATTCAAATCGATGTCAAACCATCATCAGTCATTAGTATAATCGCTTTTTCATAGGTCTTTAGATTTCATTTCCTTTTATTAACTGATACACTTACACGGATCTGATTTATTAATATGAAGTTCGTATGTTCTTCGAACAAATAACATCAGAGTGAGTGGGAAAAATATATAGCCGAAACACATAATCAATTAGTCTACAATCTGGCATCTACTACGGCCCTCGATATGACTCATTAATCGAAGAAAAAAGAAAAAGAATTTATCGTGTACCAAAAAAAGTAACTTTTTCACAGTATCGAAATTTGGTCACATAGAATTTCGTCTATTTTGAAAAATGAAGATGCACATATAAAATAGAGTTTATATTACAGATTGTAGAGTCTTTCATGCTATGTCTTCTGATATATTTTGTTTTTCTAATGAAACGTATTCGATGATGAAAATATAGAATATAAAATGCAGTCATCCATTACAACCAATTCGCTTGTTTATTATAAAAAAAATGAAAACAAAGAAAAATATCAATCATCAGCTATTTGAATAACTGCTTTTCCAAAATTTTTTCCTTGAAAAATTCCAACTAATGCTTCCGGAGCTTTTTCTAAACCTTTTGTTACATCTTCTTTTATTTTAAGTTCACCATTAGCAATCCATTTTGGAACTTTGGAATAAAATTCTTGTTGAAAACTTGCATCTCTTGCTTTATCTAAGATAATAAAACCTTGAAGTTTTAATCGTTTACCAACAATGTTCATAAGATTTCGAATGCCATGAGAATCAGCCTGATTATATTGTGAAATCATTCCACATTCAATAAATCGTGCATAATTAGCAGCAGCATCAAGTGCTGCTTCAAGTTGATCACCACCAACATTATCAAAATAAATATTTAACGGATCAAATTTAGCAAGTTCAGCTTTTACATCTGAGGTTTTATAATTAAATGCATGATCAAAATTAAGTTCAGTTTGAAGCCATTTTACTTTATCATCTGAACCAGCTGATCCAATGACTTTCAAGCCTTCACGTTTAGCTGAAAAAAAAAAGAAAATATTATTTTCCAATAGAAAGTTGATTTATCTACCGAGTTGTCCAACAATTTGACCAACAGCACCAGATGCACCCGTTATGAAAATTGTTTCATCTTTTTTTGGTTCTCCAATATGATAAAATCCATGATAAGCTGTTTGTCCAGGCATTCCAGCAGCTCCTACCCATGTTGTTAAAGATAAACCAAGTTGAAGTTCTTCATCCCTTAAAATTCGAAGCAAATCTGCTTGGGCTTTTATATGAATTGTATATTCTTCATAATTTCCAAATCCATAAACATATTGACCAATGTTAAATTTTGAATTATCAGTTTTAACAACTTTTCCGACAAAAAAATTTGCTAATGGTTGATTAAGTTCAAATGGAGCTGAGTAACTTTTTTTTTCAGCTGATCTCATGCGACCTCTCATGTATGGATCAATCGATATGACAAGATTTTTTGTGACAATACCACCCTGTATATCGACAGTATCAAGATCAATTGTTCGATCTTTAACATATTTAATATGTTTACCAACTTCTGGATAGCCAGAAGGGATTTCTGCAAAGACAACAGCAGAATTTTGAATAGGAGCCATCGTTTGATTCAACTGATATTTTAATAACTAGGTGTATGTGCAACTGCAAGAGAGAGAAAAAAATGTACTCGCTTTTTATATAATAAATGACATACATCGTCATCGTGATTACGCAGAATAGAACGATAAAAAAAAAACATTTTTTTTTGCATCTGTCATAGATAGAAGGCATGATGGATAAAAGAGAGACAAGAAAAGAAAAACTATTCGATCTATGTTGTAAAGTTAAAGAGGTGACAGCGGTTTTACTTGACAGAAGACACTCGTACTTTATCGTTCTTTTCGTTTTTAACCATTTTAAGGTTCGATAAATAAGACAAAGTATGAAGTTCTCTATCGAGGGAGTAGTATTCAAAATGTCTATACTTTTTTGAAAGAAAGAAAAAAAAAGAAATCAAATAAAAGAAATATTTATTACAATTATTTTTCTTTGATGTTTGAAACTAATAAATATTTTACAATTTTTCTAGCAAAAGCTTCTCGAATTTGACACATTGGTTTTTGATGCAATCAAGATCTTTTATTAATCTCTAGCTGTAATAAACCATTGAAATTGTTTTGAAAGAAATAAAATTTATTGAGAAAAAAAACAAACCAACGAATAGGAATTTATATTCTGATGTTTTTGAGAAGCCGATGTATAAACTTGCATTACTGTTATTCATATTGCAAAAAAAAGCAGTAATCAACACATCTTAATTCATTTTTTTTATAAAAGTGAAGCGTCGCTTAATTGATTTGATAAAATCTCGGCTAATCGTTCTCTTGATCTACCTTTAGATTTTCCTGTTAAATTTAGCACATGAAGGCTGGTTTCATTTGACATGAATTGTCATCTAAAGAGTGTCTCATAATAACTGAGGATAAATTGTCAACGACATTTGGCATACTTATTGTTGACGTAGAAGGTTGACATTTTTATTCCATATGTATCTAACCAAGCCCTTTATTTTGTAAAGCTTCAGCTCTCTAACTAGAACTAATGCTGAAATGCATAGACAAGATTAACATACATGAATTGTCATATTACATTCTTGTAATGCTTTTACAACGTAGTCAATCGCGATAGAGCTGCTAAGGATTGTTTTAACTATATAGAAATGTATATATATCTAAAAACTTCTAAATTTTATGACAAATTTTTATCTTCAATGTTCACCAGTTACTAAAACAAAAAGAATCATAAGTGATTTGCATTGAATATAAATCATCTCAAAACAACATGGAGTATTGGTCGCACGGTTCGTAGCGCAATTATTTAATGAACGTATAGAATTAATAGATAACAGTGCTCAATTTGTTGATGTATGAAGAACTGAAAATGTGAGGAGTATATTGAACAAAAAAGTTTGCGAAAAGTGTTTGATACATTATTACAATTAGGAAAAGAAAATGCACAAAAATTGGGGAAATTTTCACAAAAATGATAGACGAAATACCGTGTCAATTATAATTGGTCATATAAAGCAATGAAGAATCAGTTTCTATATATTGCATTTTGTTATAATTTATGTTTGTGAAAAATTTTGTCTTGTAAAGTGTCTTTCCAATAGATGTCTATAAATGTCACTGTTCAACACAAACATATGTCACAAAAATCAACTACAAACATTTATATATTTTAATCTTGTTCATTTATTTCATCGCTAGTTTAGTTAGAGAGTTGAAAATTTCGAGAATTAACAATATTAGTAAGATATATTTTCGAGAAAATTTTCCAAATGAAAATATGATGACTCAGGTACAAGAGAGTGCGCTTCTATAAATAATATAAAATGGAAGAAATTGGCGTCATTACGTTGCTGTTTCAGATAAGTTTGTGAAAATAGTAGCAAAAAAAAGTTGCTCATAAAACGGAATAATATATTATCATAAAATATGATAAAACTTGAGGCGGCAATAAGTCATTTCCTATGATCAGAACGATTGCTCTAAACGTGCTAATTTTGATTAAGTTTAACAAAATAATGTATTTTCATTTTTCAATGAAAGCATTAAGTAACAATATCATTCTTATCTATAAACGAGTACGAAATCTGAGCGGTTCTATTTTATTCGTATCGCAAATAAACAGCAACAACAATAATAATTTCAAAAAATCACAAGACAAATAGAGAACTACGAAAGGTGAGCTGCAGATCAATAAATAATAATAATTGCTATATATTATGATCTGAGAAATAGTCAATTGAATCCTTTATTTTGTTATTTAAGCATAAATATGATCAGAACATATGATAAGAGAAGTGTTAATACTTGTTGAACACACACTGAAGAACAATGAATACTTTCATCTTCTTCATCTTGAAGATTTTCATGTTTAGCAGATTGAAAGTTAGCTAAAACTTGACGTGAATATAATTTCTGAGGATGTCGAAAATTCCACGAGATGGAATTACCAGCAAATACTTCTAATTGATATTCTGAAATTGATACAGTCGATGCTAATATTATCCATGTAATACCTTCTGTGCATGGTGGAGTAGTTAAGGAACCGTTGTAACGATAAAAACGGGGTGATAAAAGTGTAGGAAATAGGGGAGTTATATCGATTTGTTTTTCAATAGATATGGATATATTTGTAGTTTGGTTTAAAATCGATAATAAATCATTGATGTATGGATTATCATCATGTTGTAATTCGAAAAATATACCAAGAACAGCTTGAGCACGTGAAAAATGAGCTTGATGTACAAAATGTATTTCTAAAGGATATTTTATTCCATCGATTGTATGTTCAGAACCTTGATAAGCATTGTAACCCCAGTGAAAATGAAATTGAACTAAAGAAAAACTTTCTGGTAAATTAGCTCCACTTATTGAAAGATTTGCTGATGCTGGTGGATATACAACTATCGTATGTCCATTATGTGTGAAATTCCATACATGTAAAGATGTATTTGTCGTAAAACCATTTAAAGAAAGTGGACGAAGCTTTGGATCATATTTAACACGAGATGTTCGAATGTTTATTGGAGATTGAGCTTTACCGTTGCATGTATTAAATGTATGTTGCCATGTATCAGGTCCTTCTCGTTGATAATCCCAATGTAGTGATGATGGATTTGTATGTTGAAGAATAGTATAATTCAAAAATAAAAATAGAAGTAAGAGCTGTAGCATGAATGGCGAAAACATTGTTTTCTACGGGTTATTGAAAATGTTTTATGATGGTAACATATGAGATAACGATAATCAATCAAATCACTCATAGAACACATTTCACAATTAAAATACATGTGATCCTTGTCTAAAACATGCTTCAATGACGTAGTTGTCCCCGATGTGTTTTCGTTTACTTTAAAAAAAAGTACATAAATAAGTTTGTTTATCAAAACAATTGTATAAAAAAAGGCAGAACTTCATATTATTCTACTTAAGTATCTTTCATTTTATTGGATTCATTTTACATATTCTAGAATTTACACGAAGAAGATTATAAAGTTAATGAAATATTACTGTAATTTTTTCTTACATTAACAAGGAAAATTCTGTATTGATTTTAGATTATTATCGATTGTTCGCTATAGTGTGAATTGCCTCTGTCACAAACAGAGTTTTTCAAACAATATGTTTAAGAGAATTTTCGTCATGAAATGTAATGGTATTCTTTACAAAAAAAATTACGTCAATGTTGTTTCTTATCAAGATGTATAGTGTTGCGAAAGAGTCTTTCTTTCACACAGTAAAAAATGACTATATTTGCTAATTATGCATTAAGATCAGCCAGTCTATGTTATAGTAAATGTAATGGATATTTATCAATTTCTTTCTTCATTAGAAATGTGAGATTCAGAAAAAAAATAAAATAAATAAGAGAACGAAAATGATAACAACTAATAGTACGATTTGCTTTTACACGTGTAAAATAGGAACAAATTACAAGATAATTGCCGTATAATCGGATAAAATAAAGTCAAAAAACAAGATTTTACATTAAAGACAATCGTAAACAGAAGCGGCGGTAGTAAGGGATTCGATTTGACAATTTTATTCACGTATGTTTGAATAGGGTGCAGAATTCCTATGTAAAACATAGAAATTCCAGGTAGGTATACGAATATTACATAGCCAATTGGATCTACCAAAGTTTAATGGGCTTCACTGCCTCTGACCGTAAATAACATACAGTGCAAAAGCAATGACACAAAATGTCGACTCTTATTTCTTTTCCAAAGAAGAGTGCTAAAAAAATATTTTTTTCTATCAATGTAAACCTACTTTAGCAAAAAGTGTTAAAGATTTTGTAAGAATTCACCTGAACTTTCAAATTTTAACATAGTTTAGATCGAAGACGGCAGTTTCTTGCCGCAAACATTCTGTGTTTGCAGAATTTTAATCTAAAAAAGTCAATATAGAATGTTGTCTACCACTGTGCGAAAATCCAAAGATATCTTTTCTGCTAACATGCGGAAAATATCTAATGCTTTCTCTATCGATTCCAATTTAACATAATCTAATTACTAATTTTGCTGAATAGAAATTCATCTTTATTTGAGAGGAAAATGACGTTATTGATTTTTCTAATTAAAAAAAAGCAACAAAAAGTAATTTATTGATTGAAGAACAATGTAAATTGATGATTGTTCTTGAAATTAAAACACTGATTTTGAAATAATTTATTGATGATAAATTAAGCAAAACATTGATAGTATGATTCGAATACTTTTTCGTTTGATCTTTTTGTTTTTAGCTTTTTCTTAAACGACCTATTTAAAAAAATATAGTTCATATACATTATAATGAACGTATACATTTACTTTTTATTGTGATCATCTAATTTTCAATCAATGGATGCATATGTTCACCTTGTTGTTTTCTTTTTAAATGCTTGCTTTTCTCTTATGGTATTTAATATTTCTGTTAAAGAACAGAAAATGAGTATATGTAACTTTACAATACTGAATTTTACTTCCTTTGACTTTCGATGATTTAATATAATTCAGAAAATAAATGATGTGCTAGTCATGCTTCGCTAGCTCAATGGTTAGAGCACTTATTCGAATAACCATTAATCGTATCATGGGTTCGATTCCCGAACGAAGGATATCATTTATTTTTCTGAATGATATTAATCATTGAGAGTCAAAGGAGGTAAAATTCAGTATTGTAAAGTTACATAATACTCCTTTTCTATTCTTTAACAGTTATATTCACCCTCTGATAAGAGAAGAATAAAAATCACCATCAACTTCACTTGGTTAGAAATAGCTTCGCTATATCCAGATGCGTCGTACACATCGTGCCAATGTTAAAATTTTGATGATTTAATATCATTCAGAAAATAAATGATGTGTTAATCGTGCTTCGATAGCTCAATGGCAGAGATCTGAAAACTCGTCTCGCGCCTCTCCGCGCTGCCTCGCGCCTACGCACGGTACATGCCTAAGTTTTTTCTTACTCTACAAAATAAGTTTCTCAACATCCTACGAACATCAGGATGGTGTAAGCACGCGCTCCTCAAATCTCTGACAAATGTAGCTTAAGCGCAAGCAGAGACGCGAGGCAGCGCAGGGAGGCGCGAGACAAGTTTTCGGATCTCTGCTCAATGGTTAGAGCACTGGTTCGAATAGCCATTAAACATATCATGGGTCCGATTCCCGAACGAAGCATATCATTTATTTTTCTGAATGATATTAATCATTGAGAGTCAAAGGAGGTAAAATTCAGTATTGTAAAGTTACATAATACTCCTTTTCTATTCTTTACAAGTTATATTCACCGTCTGATAAGAGAAGAATAAAAATCACCATCAACTTCATTTGGTTAGAAATAGCTTCGCTATATCCAGGTGCGTCGTACACATCGTGCCGATATTAAAATTTTGATGATTTAATATCATTCAGAAAATAAATGCTGTGTTAATCGTGCTTCGATAGCTCAATGGTTAGAGCACTGGTTCGAATAACCATTAAACATATCATGGATCCAATTCCTGAAACAAGCATATCATTAATTTTTCTGAATGATATTAATCATCGAAAGTCAAATGAGGTAAATTTCAGTATTGTAAAGTTTTTAATATTTCATGCGCATGCTGATTGATTCTTCTATCATAACTTTTAAGAGTTTTTTAATTTTCTTCATTGATTTTTATTATCCATTTCGAAAAATCATACATCTAAATAAGGGAAATGAATATTAACGATGAACTGTTCTTATCCAACGTTATATATTCAATTATACAGTGGGCCTCAGTTGAATTTCCCCCTTGATATTTTTTTTTTGTTTTTATTACTATACTTATTTTATTTATTAACCTACTATATACAACAAGAAAGCTTGAAATGTGTTGTATCTTTTGGTATATTTACATTAGATATCAAATGCAGTTTAAAGTGTAAAATATGTCTCAGAAAAAAAGTACCATTTTTTTCACTACACACTGTAAAAAAAGGGTACTTTCTCGAACCTCAAAAAAAGGTTCGGTAGATGACAAAAAGTTTGCAAATGTGTTGAAAGTTTCAAAAAACGAATAAAAAAACCCGGAACCTTTAAAGGATCTTACCGTGTACCCAAGTGAAGATCCTTTTTTCTTCGAAACCTTTTTAAGTTTCGTACACCAAAAAAAA